AATGTCCTACATAATGCAATGGAAGTGTACTCACTCTGTTGTTTCCTTTTGGGACTATAGAAATATTGCAAATGAATTTTGTTATTGCAGAGCCTTCTTTGTAAACAAATCAAGTTTTGCTAACAGTTAATGGATGTTTTCCTTTATGTAAAATAGGTGGCGCAGAGGGAGTGCAAAATTGAAAATATTTTTCAACCAATAAGCGAGAATTCATGATAAGTGTTTGTATAGGTACTTGTCGACTCCAAATATGTTATTGTTAATAAATGTTTGTGATATAGAGGGAATTTTTCTAAAAGTTGCGTACCTACATTATGGCTATGTATCTTAAAAAAACTAATCATATTGCATGGAATCATGATAGTCCATAATGGTGGGTGGGTCATATCTAGGTTATCTCTTTAATTTAATGCTTGCAAGTTGGAAGTGGCAGAAAGTTGATGGTATTAAGATATTGCGGATGGCGTTAGTCACATGTCACTCATGAACTTGACCCAAAAATCATTTAAATTGACACTTTAATGTTGCAGCTCCCAATTAAACGTCGGAATAATTGTAGAAAGATACAGATAGTAAACCAAAATCATCAAGTGCACTAAGCTCAGGATGGTTTCGTTCGTTAGCAACACGCATTAAACTTTTGTTGCTATTGACTGGCTATTTTGTTAATGATTTCTGGTAGTGAACTAATGATGATTGTATAAACCTTAAATCCACCATTAGTACTTGGTTGCAGTTGGGAAAAAATTGTTTTAAAGCTTGTTTTTCAGCTCTAGTTGCCTGGTTTATTCATACATCTTAAGCTCTGGGCTCTGGCACTTATACTAAACATTGGTACATATTATAAAAATCTATACGGAAAGATGTGATTACTACATTATGATTATCAAATCAAATGGGGGCATTCTTCCAAAACTAATGTGCCTTTATTTGGATGCTAATCTTTACAGATCATGTGTAAATTATATTTCTTATACTGTAAAAATTTAGGTGTAACACTTAGCAAGGCATAATTCTTAATCACTTCGATTATCACAGATAATTCACCATTTTTTAAATCAACCTTGTGCTCCTTATTTTGTTCAGTTACCATATCTGCAACTGCCGCGATAACGTCATCCCTTGACAATTGATTATTGTGCCTATGATTATAAAACACTGAAAACGTTTTCGGTTCATTACCGCCGAAATATTTCTGTACTAAAGGCGCTATAGCCTTTTTTATATCATCGAGATACGCTTTGCACGTCTCTTCGATTGGTACTAACCGAATAAGAAAGCGTGTCTTCTGCTGCCTAGTCTTATGGATGTCTTCAATAATTGTCTGGGCTAGTTTTACAGGATCTTCTAAAGTTGTACGTATGAATACGATATTCTTTGCACCTGATTCAACCGCTTGAAACCGATGGTTCGATTTCTCCTTCAATGTCTTCAGTGCCTGAATTTCCCGTTCTAGTTCGTCTACGTCTTCTTTATCATTCACTTCGGAACTCCCTTGGCCTTCGGGTTCTAGCGAGGGGGCATACTCGTTTAAAATATTGTACGATTCTCTTACGCAGTCTTTTTCTCTGTCGTTACAACTACAAAGAAAGCCCTTTAAACCCACCTCTAACGCGAATCTCTTTCGTTTTTTGCCATTATCAGAATATTGATATTTTCTTTTCTTCGTTTCGGCCATTTTCAGGTATATTAATTAAACAAACCGGTGCCGATACTTTAGCCACTACTGATAAAGTCCCTAGATCTGGGGACTTTAACTATCAAGCGGGCGCGCGATATCCAACGAAAAAATTTGAATTTGAAAATCCACAACCAAAGCTTTACAAAATGTTTGAATGAAAGTGATACACTTCCTTTTTTTGAGGCCCGCAAAAAAATTGTCTCAGATCGACCCGGCAAAAAATTTTTTTTATAGAATGTGGCCTGTAGAGTCCATAATTTCAAACAGTTCTAAGATTGGGCTACTAGTTCAAAAGTTACAGCCGTTTTAATTTTCTTTCGAAATTGGTTTCTAGTCTATAACTTTTCATTGATCGAAAAAGTACGAATTGTTTTGGATTCTACGCACCAAAATTAATAGGAAAAAGTGTTTCCCCGAGAAATGTTGGTGAAGTCGATTTTTGGTAAAAAAGGAAGGTTATACACTGCCTTTTTTTAAGGCCGCAAAAAAAAATTGTGTCAGATCGACCCGGAGAAAAAATTTTCTTATAGAATGTGGCCTGTAGAATCCATAATTTCAAACAGTTCTAAGATTGGGCTACTAGTTCAAAAGTTACATTTTTTTGATTGAGAAGTCTGATCGAAGAAGTACGAATTGTTTTGGATTCTACGCACCAAAATTAATAAGAGAAAGTGTTTTCCCGAGAAATTTTGGTGTAGTCGATTTTTGGTAAAAAAAGGAAGGTTATGTACACTGCCTTTTTTTGAGGCCCGCAAAAAAATTGTCTCAGATCGACCCGGAAAAAAAATTTTCTTATAGAATGTGGCCTGTAGAATCCATAATTTCAAACAGTTCTAAGATTGGGCTACTAGTTCAAAAGTTACAGCCCTTTGAATTTTCTTTCGAAATTGGTTTTTAGTCTATAACTTACGATTGAGAAGGCTGATCGAAAAAGTACGAATTGTTTTGGATTCTACGCACCAAAATTAATAAGAAAAAGTGTTTTCCCGAGAAATTTTGGTGTAGTCGATTTTTGGTAAAAAAAAAGGAAGGTTATACCCTGCCTTTTTTTGAGGCCCGCAAAAAAAATTGTCTCAGATCGACCCGGAAAAAAAATTTTCTTATAGAATGTGGCCTGTAGAATCCATAATTTCAAACAGTTCTAAGATTGGGCTACTAGGGTAGGGATTAAAAGATGTTACATGCTTTTTTTGAGACCATGTTAACCAAAAGTTTCTAAAATAATGCATCAAGACGTATTTTCATGAATTTTTCACGACCCCTTATATTTTTAACAAAAGATGTCAAAACCAAGATCCATTTTTGCTGACTAAAATGTAATGAAGTAGGTATTACCATTGAAGTATTAAAATAAACGCCCAGGAAAATTTGCTACGATAATAGGTACCTACTGATAATGCTCCGGTATTTAACATTTCTGTTTTATTATATGTATATACATGCAGAATAAAAGAATTGCAAATCTATCAAAACAATGCGGTACCATAACTTCCTAAAAATGCGTTGCACTGCGGGCAGTAATGGCTTCGATCTTTACACGAATCCACACAGTATGGTATTAGGCAGCAGGGAATGCATCTGAATTAGAACAAATTACAGCCAAGTACATAGACATTTAGAAGTACGTACCCTAGGATACATAACAGAGCGGCAAAAAGATGAGTTTTCGTACCAGCACTTGCTTCCAATTTTGATGTAACTTGATTATGACAATGCGGGCAATTTATCAGTTGTGGAATTGGACCAAAGACTGTGACAACTGCGAAGATAAGATCATTTTTTAAGTACATACCTAGATCTTCCGTCTAACCAATTTATTATAACCTACCTTGAGGTTGTGGGTACCTCGAGTATTGCGCTTGCGGGACACTTGGCGTAGGCTGTGGTATGAATCCTGGTTGTTGAAACCCCACTTGCGGAGGTGGTGGAAACCCCATTTGTGGAGGAGGTAAAGTTGGATATCCAGCATTGCGCGATTGTGGGGGATATGCTTGCGAGTAATTATTTAACGGAGGCGAATGTGTACTTTCTTCATAGGGGGGAGGTGGTGGGATTTTCTCCATTTTTTTGATTCTGTAATATCAGGTTGTATTTTTAATACCGACTATCACTTTGGCATAGCATTAAATACTTTGATGCAATTATAGTAATAACCTCTCTCATAACGAATTGTTCGGTGAGTGGGTATGCTCAAATTGTCACCATTCCTTGTACTCATTGTGCTGTAAATATGGCTATTTTTGTTGAAATCATTTATGTTTCGCCACGTATGACTGAATGGTTTGGAATAAGAAGAGGGGTTAGGCAGTGATGTTGTCTATCACCAACCTACTACTATTAAAAACCTTAAAACTGCCGTTCGAAAGAAAAAGCCTTGGAATCTAATTGCAGGGTGCATAAGGCCAAGGCTAGTTCGACAAGGGTCAATATGCTTTTTCACCGATGCTATTGATACACCACTTGAAATAGCTATAGGTGCCGACTGTTAAATAAATAAACTACGGTATATTTTAGTTTCAATGGGAAGAATCGACATAATTAAATTAAATACTTACTGCTTGAACTGTTCGAAAATTAGAAAAGAAACAATTTGTCAAATTTAATTTCCTAGTTACCTTGTTTTTCCACACAAAAAATAGAGGAAGCTTTACATTTCCCTCGTAAAACTATATTTGCCCTATTTTGATTAATTTGTTTTGGATTAAATGACCATGACTCCCTTGGTAGCCTTGAATTACAATTCAAGCAGAACGTGAGCCATATAAATAGTTACTGGCATACTTACTATCGCAAGCATCTCATCTCACCTAGATATATTAGGGATCCACAAAGTAAACATTAATTACAAACTAACTGAGTTAAATTTCATACAAATTAAGTTTCAACTAACCTTAACAAAATTTTGAACTATCTGCCAGAACTAAATACGAACTCTGAATTTAAAAATACACCGGCTTCCCAACGTCATAATTCTCTTACTTTATAACACATATAAATTTTGACTAGATACTCGTGATAGAATGTGTCCCCACCATGCCCATTGTCCTATGCAAAATAATTACGTTAGTCATTAAAATGTAGGGTGTTTGTCCATCCGTTCGTCCGATTATCATCATTTGATGGGGTGCTAAGGCATCAGGGATGGGATTTTTTAAAAGACGCCACGTGTCATACGCAAAAATAGGTTTTGTGGAGTGGCTGAAACGTAGTTTTTCACACTTTAACGTGCTCCAACCCATCAGTCTTTAAAATAACCACGAGTTTTACATAGGCAATATTTAAATTCCTCAAACGAACGCGCGTACCTATACGGAAACCACGTAGGCATTAGTTGTATTTTTGTTGAAAATGTTAATATCTTTCATGCAAGAAGAGTTATATAGATAGGTATTTTAAAAGAGCCCGCCCTCTATAGAAGGTGGAAGAGATCCTGCAGTAGGTTAAGGTCACAGTCTTCAACAGAAGACACGCTCTCGAGGAAGCAACGCAACATGACTTCAAAATACAAAGTTTGCTTTTTCTTTTCGAGCATCAAACTTCTCTCTACTTATGCATAAAATATGAACGCAGGGAAACGTTCTTCTATGTCCCTTTCATTGATGACTACGATCGGTAGCTCCTTTAGAAACTCGCCCAATCCCTCTCCACTGGGGACAAAACTGAACTAATTAGTGTTGGTGAAACATAAAATCACTCGTGCGGTAACTAACGTAGTATGAAAGGGCCTGCGTAAATGGGTAGTACAAGAAAAATTCATCATGCGTCGGGCAAAGAGCAGCGCTTCCTGGTCCTTGTACTTGTAACAAATATAGCAAACGAGCTCCTGTGGATCATTGAACATTTAATCAGTTCTTCCTTGGGTGATCTATTATTATTATTATTTTATATATATATATATTTAATTTTAATTTTAAGTACATTGACATAAACACTGTTCTTCGTTCTCAACATTTCACTAGGCATGGATTACACATGACATATTCCGGTAAGCAAACTTTAATAAAGTACATTTGTGAAAGAACTAACTATTTTAAGGGCGACGACGGCGTTAAGTCACAGTCGTATGTTAATGTTGGAAATCTTGTATATCCTCCTGTTGTAAATGATTTTTTATAAACAGGTACGCAGGGAAATCTCATCGTAATCAGTGTCAACAACATGCTTATTTTGAAAAAATTAATAATAGGGATAGTACTGAAATGTCGACAAGCTTTAGCATTTTTTTCTTAAACATTCAAAGTCTACGGAATAAAGTTAGTGAACTAGAAGTGCAGCTGTTAGATACTGATTATGACGTGATTTGTCTTTGTGAACACTGGTTAAAGAATTTTGAGGTAACAAATACGTGCATTAGAAATTATATATTAGTCAATAGCTTTTGTAGAGAAAACCGCATTCATGGTGGTTCCTTAATTTATGTGAAACCCAAACACAATTGTATTTCCGTCCCTAGGATTACCGCTCTATCTAGTGAAATGCATTGCGAAATATCCTGTGTGTACTTACCAGTCTTAGAAGCAATAGTTTTATGTATTTATAGATCACCGCAAGGTGATTTTAAAATATTTTCAAGCACTATGGAGAAAGCCTTACGTCAATGTGTGAAATACAGGTATGTATGTGTCGCTGGCGATTTTAATGTAAATTTTTTGGGGGCGGATAAAGGCGCTGTAGAAGTAATAGATCTTATGGCCACATTTAATTTGCATCCCAATATTTCTTCCCCCACTAGAAATCAGAATTGTTTGGACAACATTTTCACAAACGTAAAAGCAAGTTCATCTAATATTATAGATACCCACTTATCTGACCATCTCGGAATACATGCAATTATGTCCCTCAATCATGCTCCAATCAGAATAAATAGTCCTAGAAAACACCGTCCAATAAATAAACACGGAAAAGTTATTTTGAATAATATTTTAGAGAATTGTTGTTTTGATTTTGTAAAAGATAGAAGTAGAGATATTCATAAAAAATTTGACTTGTTTCTAAATACTATCACTGGGGCTTGTGAAATAGCATTTCCTGAAAAAATTGTGAATTGTACAAATAAATCTCTCAATGTTCATTGGTACAACAACGACTTAAAAAGGATGCGAAATACCTTACAATTTTTACAACAATTATATTTACAGTCGCGCAGTGAAAACGTAAAATTGATGTTGCGATCTTTTAGATATAAATATCACTTGGCTATTAAAAAGAGTAAAATTGCAACTCATGATACATTTATTTCCAAATGCAAAAATTCTTCAAAGGCCATGTGGAAAGTTATTAAAGGTCAGTATTGCAAAAATGATGTGAACCCATCAAATATTGACGCAGAGACATTCAATGAAGAGTTTTTAAATATTCCATCTAGCTTGGTGGAAAATATAGACAGTAATAACCTAAATGATCCCCATCTGTCCCCAAGGTTCAATCCCCCAACTTTTAAATAATAGTAAGTGCATGGATGCGTACGGTCACAATTTGGACATAATTAAATGTATAATAAACATAATCATATCACCATTCACTTCGTTGCTAAATGAATGTCTACATTACAGCATTTTCCCGGATGTGTTAAAACTTGCTTGTGTTCTGCCGCTTCATAAAAAAGGAACGTAACTACTAATTATAGACCGGTATCCATCCTTCCAATTTTTTCGAAAGTATTTGAAATGATTCTGAAGAATCGGATTATAGATTTCATGGAAGGGAATCATTTGTTTTGCAGTAATCAGTTTGGTTTTCGACAACTACTGCCATTCTTAATTTCACTACGCAGATTATTGACAGTATAGAGGCACGTAGAAGTTGTACGTCTATATCTTTAGATCAAACTAAAGCCTTTGACTTGGTATCTCACAAGTTACTGTTAAAAAAGTTAAATTTGTATAATTTCACGCAGGATAGCATAAACTTAATTCAATCTTACTTAAGCAATTTGTACAGTACAACAATAAAAAATCTCAATGTCGAGCTGTAACATTATGCGTTCCGCAGGGTTCCATAATTGGACCTGTTTTATTTTTAATTTTTATTAATGACATTTGTTTCTCTAGTCCAGGTGCCAGATTCACGCTGTATGCTGACGACATAACGTTAACTAGATTTCTTCCGATTTCGTGCAGAATGAAGAAAAAATAAGTAAGGCTTTATTAGATGTAAAACAATGGATTAGTGCTAATAAGCTAATTTTAAATATTAGTAAAACACAAAAAATTCAGTTCTCTTCATCAACGTCAAAAGAAGTAGTATCCATTAATTTCCTTGGCGTCCTTATTGATTCGAAACTGACGTGGGGCCAATACGAAGACAGAATTAGCGCAAAACTGGCTTCAGTCGCGTATCTGTTAAAACATTTATCTAACATGGTGTCGAAACCGATTTTAAAATGTGTCTATTACAGTTATGCCCACTCAATAATTTGTTATGGAATAATAGCGTGGGGCCACTCCACTGCAATGAAAAGAATATTTGCGATGCAAAGAAGGTGTGTCCGAAGTGTAGCTAGTGCTGGATACAGAGAAGACTGTCGTTACATTTTTCAATCTTTCAAAATTCTTACAGCGCCTTCTCAGTACGTACTAGAATGTTTGGTGTATGTTCATAAAAATAAATTAAATTATGTAGCCCATTCAGACATCCACAGGTACAACACACGTAACAGCAATAATCTTGTATGCGCGAAACTTAGACTTAAAAAATCGCAAGCTGCACATAACTACTGGGGGCCAGTGTTTTATAACAGGTTGCCTGATCACATTCGATCAGAAAATAGAAAGATTTTCAAAAACAAAATAAAGGCTTTTTTAACTGAAAACCCCTTATACAATATTAAAGATTTTCTTAACATTGACGTTAAATTATAAATTTTAATATTTCTTAGAGTTTACGTTTTATGTTTTATGTTATAGCAAGTCTCTGTGTTTTATATTTATATGTATTGTTCTGCTTTTATGACGCGTGTAAACATTACTTTTAATGTACTAGCACAATGAATATATATATTATTATTATTATTATAAATAAATAAAAAAGTGGTTACAATATATTACTTAATTAACTCGACTTAGTAAGCATAAGAATAAATACTAATTTGTTAACTAATTTTTAATACAATTATTTATTTTTTTTTCCTTATTAAAAGTACATAGTTAATTTAAGAAACAGCTTATTAAGTTTTAGTTATAGTTTAAATTATATAATCTAAATATTTCATGTACGCATTAACGTTATGGAATAACTCTTTTATTTGTAACGATAAGAAACAAAACCTATTTATTTTCTATTTTATGTTAATTATGGCCTGGCCGATAAGTCTAAGACTTGGACAGACCTTTACAGGCATGCGCCCAATTACAGTGACCCGCATAATGGTGCCTCTGCAGAAGGTCTTAAGTTGGTCTATACTACTCCGGTATTTACCTTACGAATTAGGAAAACTACAGGAAAAGCTAATTCGGAGTAGCCGGTAGAATGCTCGAAGCTGGTCTAAGGTAATTTCCATCTCCGCCACAGATGAAAAATTCACCTCAACCCAGGTTCGAACACCCGACCTTCGGATTCATAACCCAATGCTCTACCACTGAGCCATGAATCCTAGCCGGGTGATAAACAAAATACTTAAAGCATAATGGGGTCATCCCGCCTTCATTTTTTATTTCTGATCCACAAAGTACATTGAAAATAAAAAGACCCGTGTGTCTTCAATTTTTATTTGCGAGTAAAATAAACCCAAAATAAATTATTGAAAAGCTGTGTTTTTAGTCCGAATTTGAAACGCTTTAGACTAAATAAGTCACAAACCTACAACCAATCACGTAGAAGTGAGCTGGCAACCTTACGCGAGAGTCTGACGTTTGTCACATTTGACGTTTTGAGAGGGATGTTTAACCGCATCTAGCACGAAAGTGACAAGTTCCTGTGACAGATGACGCAAGTTATAAATGCCATTCTCCTGCAATATTGCCAAGTCGTTATGTCATCTGAATGGTTCTAGGAGCTGATTGGTCGGGCTTATTACGTCACAGAGCCCGCCACAATCATATCGTTTTGAATAAACCTTTAAAACCGCACATGTTCATTATTTTTTTGCTAATCAACCTCTATTTTTAAATAAACTTTTACTGTCCAAAAAAATGTTTTATGGTTTCAGGTACACGCTTATTAAATTAGAACTGCGAAATTCAACTATACTGTAAACCCCCATTGGAAAATTCAAAACCGTTCGAGAGTTATCTTTCCACAGACGGACGGACGGAAAGTCCAAAATCATGGCGGCGCTTCCGCAAATACCGGAAGTGCCATGTTGGTTTTTTTTAAATAGAAACATACCATTCTCTATTTTTTAGCCCATTTTATAAGAATAAAAAGAATGTGATATTGTTTCCGTTCTGTCCGTCCTTCCGCACCCACTTGGGCGGTTTTGATCTACTGCTAGGGGAATTGTCCTAGAGTCCTGGAATTTCTTGCAGTACATAACATATACCTGATGAAGGTGTGTCATACGGTCATCAAATTTCGCCCCCCCCCCCAATTATTTCCTGAGAGGTTGTTTTTAATAGCAAAACGTGCATAACTTTTACATGTAGCAAACCATAAATTAGATTGGTCTCAGATTGTGCATACGCATGCCTGTAGTGGTGCCGTGCCGAAAGGAACTGTTTTCTATCAATCTAACGCCCTTCTTTTCTTATCAAAGAGGGTACTCATAAAAGCCCAGTGGAACGTCAGGGCCAGACATATCTACTGGTGATGTCAAAACCTTCCGTGTAAATATCCAACTGAAAAAAGTAATGCTTGGAACTCTACCAGGAACGTCATTATGGCTTTGATGTTATGGTGCACGAAAACATAAAAGAAAGAACCCACCAAATCCGCGTCCGGGTCCGGGTTCTACCCACACCTTATTTGAAGTGCGGGTTTTTACAAACGCTTTTTAATTAATTATAAAACCGTAGTCCTCAATGATTTAGGCATTTGATTTAATCTATCCGCTGAAACACACGTAATGAATTGCCAAAAACACTTAAAGCCCCTAGTTAATGTCAATACTGCTTAGAGTATTGTGATAAGGTGTATCTTTAATAGATAAAAATATTAATATGGAATAGTAATCGTTACAGTGACTAATAAGCCATCCAAGAATTGCCAACAAAATTGCACAAGGTTAAAGGAAAATGTCATTAGCCCAAACACCATGCAATAATGAAGTGAAGCTGTTCTTTTTCAAATCGAAGATCAAAACCGTCGATTGACGGAAACAAAATTATAAAACATCTTTCCATTCTCTAGAGACCAGGAGCGGACAGACAGATAGTCGGATTTCATAAAGTAGCTAGCTCTTCAGGCACAAAGTGAATTTAGATTTGTGAGAGCGTGTTATTGATGTAAGGAAATTGAATATACCGATTTTATTAAAATATTCACCTTAATCTTAATACTACTGCTATAGTGCCAATCTTTACAATAATTAATTAATTTATTTATAAAGAATACATCAGCAGTTTACGGATCATACGCTCCCAGAAAGGCGCTGCAATTTGAACAGTAATGGTTTTTGCTCTTACAGGAATCAATGCAGTACGGCAGTGGAGCACACGGCCAACATCTAAAATAGAACAGCTCATCAACGATAATTCAATTTGTTTAGGGAAACTTACAGAAATATACACAAAAATAACGCAAAAAGATGCGTCTTCGTCGTTGATTCCACGTCAACTCTTGTCGAAGCCAACTGATGACAAAATGGGCAAGTTATCATCTGTGAATTTGGACCAAGAGCTGATACAACAACTGATGGGATTGAGATAATTGGTTGTTCTACAACATTTTGTTTTAATACGAAAGCAGAAAACCAGAAAAACACCTTACCTGTTCTGGGATAATATCCAGATTGTAACGGCGGTGGGGCAAATTGTTGCGATGGCCCCACGTTAGACGGTGCAACTCCCGGTGGCACATAATTTTGCTTTGTTTCTTGCGCGCTGTATGGTGGTGGATTTTCCATTTTAAACTATCCACTTAATAAATCTCAAAAGACTAAAGCGATCAAAATGAAAAGGGAATTATTTAATTTATAATTGAGGATAATAATTATCTTCTAGATAAGAGATAATGTCTGACTCATTATCATGAATTTTAAAAAATAACCAAAAAGTTCTCTTACGTGCAAAATAAATAAGTGACGAGGTAGTTACTAATTAAATAGTGTTTATTAAGATAAGGTCGAGCTGATGAGTACAACAATACAATGCAAAAAATTGTTCTCATGCATATATGTATTATTTTTCATTAATCGTCCAAAATATTCCAAAAACTAAGTTGATAAAGTATTTCTTTATTAAAACTATGACTAACAATCACACTATGTCCTAATCCAATGCGTGAATTGGCATATTTCGTTTGTGATGACTTAGCATTCAGATCCCCCAAGTGGTATGGATTTAAATATTTTATTTATTTTTTATTGTATTTTTTTTATGTGCAGATGCAGAAAGCAGTGTGTAACGGGAGGTTACAACTGAAACTACGACCACGACGTCACTGGTTTTTTTAAATTACCAGATTAGAAATTCGCCTCTGAGTGTACTGCTGCTCCATATACAGTGTTATTTATTAAGAAGTAGACATAGGGATTTACGTGTATTGTTTTACCCTATGTCTACTTTTAAATGACAAAATCACTTTTGAAGAGCCCCTAATTTTATGCATCCAAAATAACTTCTTTAAACAAATAAAGATCTCGCTTTAATTTGAATATTGTTGTTTTAGATTCACAGAAAATAAATCTCTTACGCCTCTTAAGCTGTACTAATTGACAATTTCAACGTTTTCTCCAGTTGAATACATCAGGTATCAACGAGAATAAAAATACGGAAGCCAAAAAGGGCATCTCTATGTCTACTTTTTAATAAATAGCACTGTAGACATTAGAAGATTATCAGGCACAGGCCATCCTGCGAGTCCTTGGAGGTGTCTGAGGAACTGCGACGGCTTGTGATCCCCTAATTCCCCTTTGAGTTCGAGTAACTGTCTAATCCGCTGATCGTAAGTTGCGCCCAACATTTTGATTTCAGCTTTTGGTACGTCTCGTCGTCGGGTGGTTTGGTGAGGATGTTCCGGACTTTTAAGCCCCTGGCGATGTACCGGTACCAGGTGTCATCATTCGCGATGCCGCTTATTCGGAAATTACTCTCCACTTGGGTGAACCACATTTAGGGGTCGGTTGCCCAGAATGGTGGTAGATTCATTTGGACGCGATCTATCTCCAGGCGACGCTCGGCTGTGCTCCCGGTCGAGGTCGCGTCTTCGTACATCTTCAAACGTCGGTGTCACCACAAATCTGGTTCTGTTGGTTCTTCCTCTTTTGTGAAGGTCAGATCTTAAAACTTGCGATTGCCAAAATCTATGAGGAAAGGTCTTTTTCCGATCGATTTGTGAAAACCATTTTAGAGCCTAAGTGAAGGGGGCGGGGGGGGGGCGAGATTCAGGCTTTTTAATGGCAATAATTCAATTAAAGATTTACTCGGCTCATTTAATAAATATAGTATACGACAATTCAAAGTAAGTTTTGTGTAAACTCTTCAAATTAAACATTATTTAATTCGCATTCTGTTGAAATAGTTTTTCAACCTCCGAAAATCAAAATGATTTTGGTCTTAATTTTAAGCAATCCATAATAAAGGTGATTTTATGCGAAGAGTCATGAGGAACCTGCTTTGATGTAAAGATACAGGGTGACCATTATGCACGGAATATCGTATATATTTTGGTAAATATCGAATGTGTACAAAATTTTTGTATATGAAAGTTGTTTAACATCATATTTCCTATAATAAGGCAGCATTCAGTTGTTTTTATTTTAGAAAACAAATGAGTAACTAAAAACAATTGATTTTTTTTTATGGCAGTCGATAGATTTTTTCTCTTTTCTTAGTACCTTTATTCAAGAAAATTTTTCAAAAAAAGTTATTGTAAATAGATCAATAACATTAATCCAGATATCCTACATGAAAATAAAACAAATGCACGTGCCATTAAAAAAATCAATTGTTTATCGTTATTCATTTGTTTTCTGAAATAAAAACAACCGAATGCTGCCTTATTATGGGAAATAAAATGTTAAACAAGTTTATCATATAGAAAAATGTTGTATACCGTCGATATGTACCGAGATATATACTATATTCTATACATAATGGGCACCCTGTATATTAAAAATGTTGGTAAAAACTAGAGCTCGTGATTAAATTTGTCCCACTTCATATAAATATGCCGAAAACAGCTTCGTCTGAAAATAACTATTATGCAAATACTGTTATAAAAGATACACACTCACCCCTTCTATATAATTTCGTATATTTATCTTTTCATTTTGAGCGTGCGCTCCATCGTCACTTGCTCCGACCGGTAATAAAACAATGTTCTTTTGTAAGATTTGCTTTAAAATTGAAACAACGCCAATTGATGCACCTTCTCGTGTTAAATCCGCATCCACGCCGTAAACGTGTTTCGCAGCCCTACGGGCGGCCGTATAGTGAGGATGAAATGGATCTTCAGTCCACCAGTCTCCTGGAGGATCCACAGTAATCTGAATTAAAACTGTGTTTGAGTTTGCTGCACCATTTAATTTACACAGTAAATTAGGTTGAAGTCTAAATTAAAACTTCGCAGTGGCGAATTTAGTTGGGTTATTCCCATCCCATTCCACAGCTTTCTATGCACTATCAAAGATTTTAAGTTTTTCTCCAAGACTGATCGGTAATTGGTTTCCAAAGCAGTATTGCATTTCAAGCGTTTCCAGGGCTTTCTAAGCTCGTCCAGCACCGGAAAGGACCTTAAACGCTCGGTAAAGCACTTTTTTACGCCTTACTGGTGCTTTCTTTATACCTTTTCCAGATCTTCACAGTCTCTACAAAGCATCTAGAGAACAATACGAAGAATTTACAGTGCAATTGAAGACCTTTTAAAGTGTCCTAAGTCACAGCTCTAAACCTTTCCTACAGCCCTGGAAGGAACTTGAAAACTCTGGAATAATTTTTAACGCTATGGAGAAGACGTGGACAAAGTCTAGAGCCAGACAGGAAAAAGCAGCGGAATGTTCTGGAAACCACTGGTAGCAGTTCGTGGCCCTCGATAGCATTCGGACCTTCTGAAAAGCCTTCTGTAGACTCTTCTTACGGTACCACGAAACGTCTTCATAAACAAGTGCATTTAAGGACATGCGAGAGCTTTTTACGTATTTAAGGCTATCCGGGGCATTCTAGCGATCTCCACACTCCTTGCGTGTAGAATTCAAAAGAGAATTGTTGGCACTCCAGATATAAGCGAGCTTACGAAGTTTAATCTAGAAGGCATTGGAAAGCTTGGTAAATTGTCCGGCAGCTTTAAAAAAGGCTTTAAGAAATCTGCTAAAGGCCATGAAAGATCTTTTTCAGAATCTTATCGACGTTATTACTCTGGAGGGTTACATAAAGCACTGAAGTGGATTAAAATGTCAAGGTCAGACATGTCTCGAATCGGTTTTTAGGTTCTTTCCAAAGGTTATTAGGTTCTTTTCATAACTTTTTCTGCTCACGTCGTCCGAGAAACTTCCAAAATAAACCTAAGACGAGATACAGGAGCATGAAAACTGTGGGTATGGCTTAGACAGTATTGGAAATGCACATAAAGCCGTGAACGGTTATATGAAAAGCACTTAGGGGCTGTCCTTTAGAGTTTATAGGCGTTCTCTCTAAACAGTTTTTCAATGCTTCTTAGCACCGCCTAGTTCTAAAGTCTTTGGAAAGTATCCGCCAATGTGAGCTGGAAATTTTAAAAGCTAAACTCTCGAAACCTGCGGTATTATGCGAAAAGTGGAGTGCAAGGGTAAAAACTTGAAGCTTAAAGTATTATTGGTCTAAAGCCGAAAGTTCCAACAGAGAAGATGGCAACTTGCAGTCAGGGATAACATAGGCCAATACTTCAAATAGGTATTAGTGTAGGGGGTTAGTACCTTAGTTAGGACCTAAACCTGGAACCTACAGCATTAATTCCAAGACAATTTTTTCTTTACTTTTCAGGATCGATAAGGGATGGTATGGATACATTTTAAGAAAAAACGTATTCTAATTTCCCATGTCGAGAAATGGTTTTTTAGAATGATTTGTATCAACGTGATTAAGAGTATTTTTTAAATTAAGTTTACCCGCAGGTTCGGGAAGTTTTCCCAATGGATGGTGAGTACTTACTTTAAAATTGTTTGGACTACCGCGTTCCTTCCACTTATGCTCCAAATACGAAATCACCATCTCGTTGACTTCGTTGGTCTGCTGATTTGGAACAGTTCTAATTGAAAATTTTCCAATAACTTTCCCTGGAATTACAGTTTTTAATCCCGACCCGCTGTATGCCCCTTCAATTCCGTGAATAGAAAGCGATGGATATCGCCAACGGTGCATTAATAATTGTATTTTATCCTCATTGTGCCTCAGCTTATTACCCCCGATAGTGCGGCGATATTCATTAAGATCGAAGGTAATAGAACGGTATAAGTCCGTCTCCTCACTGGTAACTGGGGCGACGCTCTCGAGAAGGTTTGGTATCAGTATATTGCCTTCGCTATCGGTTAAGGTATTTAGAAGATAGACTAAATCGCCCAATGCTTCGTGCCTACAAACTCGCGGTATATGAACTTGTAGTTTGTAAGTAGCTATACTTACACTGCACCTCCGTATAGTCCGCTATGTAAGTCTTGTTTAGCGCATTCAACTGCAATTTGATATTCGCAAACTCCTCTTAGACCATACGTAATGTTGGGCACTTCGGTACCAACCCAATAATTATCAGAAACGCACACATAATCAATATCGGATAAATAACTACTTTTTTCTGCAGCTAGCAACTCTTCTAATCCCAAACACCCGGACTCTTCCATTGATTCCAGAATAAATTTAATATTAACTGGTATTTCTGCGCCCATAGCATTATAAGCTTCAATGGCGTGGATCCAACACAAGACCGGTCCTTTATCGTCAGTTGCTCCACGTCCGTACAATTTACCATCGCGTTCAGTCAAGCTGAAAGGCTCCGACTCCCAGCCGTCCTCTACGGAGGCAGGTTGCACATCCAAGTGACCATAAATACAAATTGTGCTTTTCTTCGGGTCACTCCCAAGGGTTGCAAAAATAACGGGAGGCAACGGAAGTTCACTGCCATCGGGCAATTCCTCGAAACCTATATCCCTAATCGTTACCTCGCATCCTGCCTTCTGTAATTTTTTTGCTGTCCAGTCGACCATCCGACACGTGTCTTTGCGACGCTCCGGTGATCCCGATACCGATTGAACGGCTACAGCTTCTCGAAGTTCTTCAATGTACTCATCTCTGTGAGAGTCAATGTATCTGGAAATCATTCAAATTGTAAGTAGGTCGTACTTCGTGATGGTACCTACTCACTTAAATAGCTGCGCATAGACTTCCGGTAAAGACATGATGGACATGCAAAGGTCGAGACTATACTGGTACCTATGGAAGATAACTGGAGATGGTTAGCTCGTTAATAGTAGGTGAGTACAATTCTTATCTCATGATAAAAATAGATTAGTGTCAATCATATGAGTGAATTTAGTCTCTAGTAAATGATAAAAAAGATTGTGTACCTTTAGTCGACATAATCTCTTAAACTAACCCATTAAGATCTTGCCTTGAAGAGAATTCCGGTATTTGCGAGATGGGAGACGTTTAGTCCAGCGCGATCCCTGTATTTGAGGGCTTTCGCACATCATTTTCATTGGAATATATGCCATTTGTACTAAGAAACGAAAACCTTCATACTGAAGCTCTTCTTTCTAAAATCATACTCTTGTCTGTCTATCCGGGACCGTTACCAGTATACTGTAAATAATGTGGTCCAAGGGAGAGATCTTCGGATTATGTTTTCTACACAGAATTGCCCAAAATATTCCAAGAACAATATTTATCTGCAATTTTATTCGAATCACATTATCTAGATTGCTGAGACATCAATCACTCTGTTTTCATCTTTTTAACGCCTTACCTCCCTTATCCTTCGGGCATTTACTTACTCCTACTTGAGGTTCTTGACAGATCTTGACGCCTTACATGACCTGCTTCATCATTTTATACTTTCTACTACAGACCTTCAAATTTTCTTCAAACTTCATGCCTTCGTGCATACTTTATGACTGCTTTTCAGTTGTCAATTTGAAAGTAATAACATACAAAGAGAAAGGTGAAAAAAGAATGTCGAAGAGCAAATCTAACTCGTAGGCAACATAACATACAGGCATAAATGACGGATGAACAAAACCTTTATACCACCCTGTAGTAGGCTGTGGCTCATCTCTCGGCGATGGTGGTGTAATTTGGTTTGTTTACATAGTGAAGAGACACAGCTTTATGCATGAATGTAATTCAAAATTTGTATTAAAAAACCAGTATTTAATAAATAAATGTAGCAATTAGAAGAGTGTGAACTCCTCTGGTACTACCGATCAGTATTAAACATTATCCAAAAATAGGTAGGTTCGTATCCCAACAGAATTTGGAGCCAACGTCTTTTTGCAGGGTAATGAATTTCAACATAAAATGGAGAGAGAAGGTATTGAAGACACTACAGAGGGGCCAGCCATTGAGGATATCGAGATGAAGCCTGTACCATCAAACCCTACTGACCATCAGACCAATGGAACCACAGAAGAATCGAAAAATGAACACGACTTTAATCGATCGTGCCTGGACGATGACGAAGGTCGTTTATGCCCCATATGTTTGGAAAGTTGGACGAACGCCGGTGACCACAGAGTGTGCTCTTTAAAGTGTGGGCACGTCTTCGGACAGGCTTGCATTGAACGTTGGTTTTCGACTCAAAAAGCAAAATCTTGCCCTAGTTGCAAAGCAAAAAGTTCCAGCAGGCATATTTGGTTTATTTACTCAAAAACCTTAGTCCCAATGAATAGTGATTGTATAGACGAAGCAAAACAAGATATAGTTTGCGCAAATGCAAAAAGGGACAAGGTGAAAATTGAACTTCAAAATGGGCTGTTGCGGGAGGAGGCTTTAAAAAAAGAAATCCTCGAGCTAGCTGGTGATGTTCAGTTTTTAAACAAGGAGGTGCAATTGAGACAGCACGTTTCAGTGCCAAGTGCTTCTAATACAAGTTGTAGATTACACTTGGATAGATCGTTAACGCTCTGCGAAGAACCTAGTTGTCGAGTTTTGGATTATTTCTATAAGAAGCACATTATCGTCGCATCGGTTAAATCGTCCAATGCATTATTTCCGGGGTTCGGTGCAAGACAATTAGATATGGCGACATGTAGACTTACAACATATATACCGTTACATTCAGCAGCGATAAGGGATTTCAAATTTAATACAGATAATCCGTATCTTTTGAGCGTCTCTCTTGATAAGACTGCAAAATTAGTCGGCGTGTCTCCTCTGGCAGCCCCTGTTTGCATTTACACTTCTAATTCGCCCTTATGGTCGTGCTGTTGGGATAGCAGTAATTCTAATTATGTATACATTGGAGGACAGGAGGGGAGTGTAATGAAAATTGACATTCGCCAGCCCGGTAAGCCAGTTTCGACTATGGAAGTACCCGGTGACAGGTCTCCCGTCGTGTCTGTTGCATCTATACCTCCCAATTCTAACAGAGCCATGCCCGATGGTGGAATAATATCTTGTAAACTCAACTCATTATGGGCATTTCAGACTAACGGTGAAGAGTATACTCGCCACCAGTTGCCATTAGAGGGACCTTTTGTGTCTATGGTTTATCAACACTTCACTAACGAATTCTTGATCTCGTCGAGACCTAACTCTCAGCATCCTTACTCCCGACACTATTTGTGGTGCCTTGACAGTGTAGCAGACGATGTAACCTGTAATATAACTCACACGATTAGAGGGAGCACGGTACAGTCGTATTTATCACGATCTTGTTTTATTACCCATAATTATAATTCGTTTATCGCTGCCTATCAAGAATCTGATCGAAGCATGTGTTTGTGGAATGCAAAGACTGGTAACAAAGTTTGCTCGGCTGCTGCTCGTGATCCAATCTTAGACATTTGCGGTATTAATATTAATAATGAAAGTTTTGTAGTATCTCTAAGTCAGAGAAAAGTTATGTTTCATAAATGTTTATAACTATTGAATAGCAAATTATTATCATCAAATTTTATACAATATAGTTTTACCTATTTTGTAAATAGAAAATAAGACTTATTTTTTCTACAACGTGCCTTTTTATTTATATAGTCTTTGTATCTGTCTGTAAACAATGAACTTTTAGACCATCTATTGACTTGGATTTTTTGTTATAGGATGGTCATTTTTCAATTATTTATGAGTATGGGTAGCAACCCCCAATATGGAGTATTTTGACAAAATTTTTATTGTTTAAAAATGATACCACTGAATATTAATTACATTTTCTGTTTAATTTTTTCGCGTACAAGAAGAGGTAGAATAATCGTTTCACATGATTTAGATGCAGAATTTATATCTCTATAACTTTTATTGTATTTTTGCGTAAAATAATTAGGAAGCGTTCGCGCAAAGAAAAAGTAATTTCCCATGTTAAACGCCTATGTGCCACTTTTCGATTTACACCCTGTACATATGGTTAATTTAGTGTAATTAAAATAGGGGAACCTACTTGGAATGTGTCTACCTATTAAATTAATACATTAATAGGTATGTTATCAACGCTTGTCGTTAATGTCCTATCGACGCATTCCTTAAGGAACTATCGATTATTAAGGAAACGGGCCGAATTTATACGAGCACCACAAAATGGCGTTTGAAACATTAAAATTTTATTGAGAACCGCCGACTTTTAGTTAAATGGGGGCTGTTGTCCTATTGTTTTAAATGTCGCAGTGAGAATTCCCGCTACTTAACAGCCTAATGAGAAATGCTAAATTATTGGTGAAACGAACTATAGTTGAATACATCGCACGAATAAAAATAAGGAAGCCAAAATTAATTAATATGACAGCCACTTCATTTGTTTTAAGAAGTTATTTTGGTTGCATAAAATTAGGCGATCTTCAAAAAAGATTTTGTCGTTTAAAAGTAGACATAGGGAAAAACAATCGGTTTATCGTTCAATAATTGATTTATTATTAGACTTAACTACAAGTACATTGAATTCACCTACTATATTAACTATTTGACTAGTAACTAATTTCAAACTATATTTAACACCAAGAAACTTTTATGTGCTAACTATTGTTTAAAAAAGATATATGGGCAACTGACACAGATGCTTCAGTGTCAATTTCTAAATGAACTAGATTTCCCTCAACACTTATCTTATTATATCTTATCTTAAAATCTTCGTCTTTATCATTCACCAAACCACCGATGCGGTGTCTTCTACCATGTTGATTTTTTACTTTTTGCATTCTCTGCTAGTGTGTTGTTTAACTCTGCACGTAAAACATAGCCACGTTGGACTTAATTTTTCTTAAATGTCAGTTCAAGATGTACGGAGTCTTACAAATTCTGTAAAGAAATTGTAGTTCAGTACCTCGGTTTTTGAATAATTAGTTTAAATAGAATAGCTACAATTGCGCCATCTCCTTGGTAATTCATACACTCTTCATATTATAGTTTAACAAGTCTAGTTGAGATGTCACCACGTACCAAACTCCTTCAGAAATAACATTTAATAGCCAAAGCAACAATATTTAAATTAATTAATATGACAGTCAGTTATTTTGGATGTATAAAATCAGGCGCCCTTCAGAGGAGATTTGGTCATTTAAAAGTAGACGTAAGGGAAAGCAATACACATAACTGCCTATGTCTACTTCTTAATATATATCACTGTATGGGCCCTGCATTTGATGCAGATGGATAACTTTCATATTTTTGTGATGCGGCACTTTGCATATACCTAAATGAGGAGGAAGTGGGTAGGTACGTGGTGAGGTGACCTGCACCTATTTGTTTAACAACACTGCAGTTAACGTATGTTTAGCGGACAACGCTAAATAAAATGTTGTTTAGTCGAGTAGATAGATTTATTTACAATATATACAGGTGCGTGCGTGCTGAAGATGAAACGGCGGAGTTCCGTAAGCGGCGGCGCTACTGGTCAGTATCGCGGCTGGTGCTGGCTGCAGGTCGGCTGGATCGGAAGATGTTGCAGCGAAGTGCGATCGAAGCCACTGCCTTGTGCTCTATTCTTTGGCGAGCTGGGGCGGGAGCGATGTCTCTTATGTGTTGGAGGTCGGAGAGTTGTCCATCCTTTGATAGATTTTGTCGCCAGCGATAGGGTGTGTTCTGCGAGGGTGTCTATGTGCAGGTCCTGCCGGATGGTGGTGTTGGAGACGAAGTAGGGGGCTCTGGTTATCGTGCGCAGCGCGATGGATCGTACCGCTTCCAGTGCGGTGGAGTTGGACTTCGAGACATACGCCTTCCAGCCTACAATCTGGATCTTGCCCTGCGTCCTTTGGCGATCGTGTCGGCTACGTGTTGGGTGAAGTTTAGTCGCCGGTCGATTTGGACTCCGAGGTACCGGATGGTGCCCGCCCATTCCAGTCTCTCTCCGTCCATCCGTAGCTTCGCGAACTCGGTCGTCTAACGACTGGTGAACATTATGGCCTGGGTCTTGGAGGGGTTTAGTCTAAGCCGCCAGCGGCCTGTCCAACGTAGCGTTTCCTTATGCTCGCCTGTTTCCAAACTCGCAAGGAACTGAAAGAATTTGTCACAGCTTACCTTCATTGGCAGCAAAGTTTTATGAAGAAAGTATTTACTTATGTGACAAATGCCCATTCGTCAGGGTGAGTAACAATACATTCTTATTTTGGTTTCCACTTCGTTTGAGATCGTTCCTCGGAATATCGTAGTGCAATTACTACAAATGGATTGAGCACAGGGCGTTGGCGAAGGCGTTGGTGTCTACCTATATATTCGATGGTGGGCCATCTGCATTACTACAAGAAAGACCACTTGTAAGTTAAAGTAGACAACTTTGTATCTACTACATTACAAGGGTAGGGTACTTCCTGAAAAGGGATGAACATTGCTTTCTTTTATTTCCTCCCTTCCTAAATAAACAATAGTAGGTACATAATATATACCAAGGGACTAAAGTGTGCGTTTTAATCCCCAAAGGGGCCTCGTACTTCAATAATCGCAGGTAATGTGCCATTTTATTGACTTTTTGTAATTTTTAAATTGTAATCAAGTATCAAGTGTCAAGCGTCAAGTGTCAAGCATCAAGGGAGAGAAGATTATAAAAATTCAAAAAAGTGATTCAAAAAATTCAAAAAAGTGATTCAAAAAATTCAAAAAAGTGATTCAAAAAAGTTTTTTTTTAAATTTCTTTTTATTTTTGTGTATATCTTTTAACTTTATATGAAACACTTTTGTTGTATTTGAACGGGGCCAGAGAAGGAAACAATCATGTTACTCTACATAGCGTTTATCCATTGTACGGCGAAGTCCGATATAAATTTTGGGAAAAACCAAATACATTACATTCATCCACCTTAAATTTATGACATAAACCTATCAGGTAGTTTGATTTTGATCTGTCTTCTCTCCCTACTTAGTGCTAATGGTACATTGTCAATATCACTATCACTAACTACATCATGTGGTACCTGGGTGGTTATAGATGGAGTCTCTGAATTTGACATAGGAATTGGTGGCAGGTTTAAATTTCAGCAGCTGATTACAATGACGTTTCCAAATTTTATCAATTTCAGGAACTCTACATATACAAATACAATTAACACGGTGCTTTAAAACTAATCCCTGAAGTGTCCCGTAGAATCCATAATTTTAAACAGTTTGAAGATGCCACTAGATCAAAAGTGACAGCCCTTTGAATTTTTTCTCGAAATTGGTTTTTTGTCCATAACTTTTGATTGAGAGGTCTAATCGAAAAAGTACGAGTCGATTTAGATTCTACGCACTAAAATTAATAAGAAAAAGTGTTTTCCCGAGAAATTTTGGAGTGGTCGATTTTTGGTAAAAAAGGAAGGTTATACACTGCCTTTTTTTGAGGCTTGAAGGAAAAATTGTCTGAGATCGACCGGGAAATAGTACATTGAAATACAAGTGCAGAAACGGTATTATTGAAAAACGAGTATAAATGTCGCTGGCGCTCGTGTTCCTATTATACGAGTTTTTCAATGACCGTTTCGGCATGCGTGTTTCATACTATTTTTTCTACGAAAGTGAAAAATTCTTCTCTAGAAATTAGAAATTTCAACTAGCCAAATAACGACAAGAAATCGTATAGTCTGATCGTATTAGTTGGATTTTGACGAAACTGAAGATGAAGAAGGTCCCCGCCGGACGTTGTGGAAATGGCTAATGCGGTTTCGCATGAATTGCTACCCCAAAAGTGTAAGCAGCGTTTCGGAAAGGAGCGTTTTCATAAGAGAACAAATCGCTAAGTTTTTGAGAGAAGCGCAATTTTATTGATACTTAACGATTCCTGACTTCAAGAATCATGTCCCAAGAACGTTTTCTGTAGCAGAAGGCAAAGAAAATTCTACCATTGCCTGTCTTATATAACGAAACTATGAATAAAGCAATACAATTACAAAGAGTTACTTCGCATATGTTTATTAGCGTGTAGAAAATGCGTGCAGAAAATATTTTTGCCGCACTAGTGTTTCAAAGACCTGTTTTCACAATCAATTTACCTACAAAAACAATCGTGTTTCTACACTTTCGTAGAAAATAGTACATTGAAATACAAGTGCAGAAACGGTATTATTGAAAAACGAGTATAAATGTAGGAACACGAGCGCCAGCGAGTGTTCCTATTATACGAGTTTTTCAATGACCGTTTCGGCATGCGTGTTTCATACTATTTTTTCTACGAAAGTGAAAAATTCTTCTCTAGAAATTAGAAATTTTAACTAGCCAAATAACGACAAAAAATCGTATAGTCTGATCGTAGTTGGATGTTTCAATTGTAAATGATCCAGTAAGCCGGTTGCCATGACAAAACATAATTGTTTGAAAAATCGTAAATTTAAGTCAAACAATTTGTGGCGTAGTGAAGAAGTGTTAAGATAGATTTTGACGAAACTGAAGATGAAGAAGGTATGTGCACCCCGCCGGACGTTGCGGAAATGGCTAATGCGGTTTCGCATGAATTGCTACCCCAAAAGTCTAAGCAGGGTTTCGGAAAGGAGCGTTTTCATAAGAGAAAACAAATCGCTAAGTTTTTGAGAGAAGCGCCTGATGAAACATTTGTAATGATGAAGGTTTGTGAATTTCTTATTGTATTTTTAAATCATAAATAAGCATAATTTAATTACAGGTTGCTCTCGTCAGTCGTCTTTGGAGTGGCTGGAGCTTGCCGTCGCGTCGGAGCGAACGTTGTAAAATGACTGTAACGGATTTCACAGAACAAGATGCAATTTTATGGATACCTAACGATTCCTGACTCCAAGAATCATGTCCCAAGAACGTTTTCTGTAGCAGAAGGCAAAGAAAATTCTACCATTGTCTGTCTTATATAACGAAACTGTGAATAAAGCAATACAAATTATAAAGAGTTACTTCGCATATGTTTATTAGCGTGTAGAAAATGCGTGCAGAAAATATTTTTCCTACGACTTTCATTGAAAATGACATATGTCGTACAATTATGTTTACTTGAAAATTGACAATTTCGCTCACTAATGGCAAAATGTAACGGAAAACAAAACGCACCTGTGTGATTTGCTTTCTCATAAGATCTACCATATATTAGAAAGCAAATCGCATGTTACGTTTTGCTTTCGTAGTAGGCTAATCTTCTTTGTAACATCAACGTAGTAGGCATACGTCAAACTCTAAAATTGCGATTCGTTTATTGTTGAATTTATTCCCTTGTGCTACGCGTTTAATTCCTTACTTAATTTTAATGGCGAAAAGTGATTCTTCCATGGATATAGAGTGTACTCCCCGCAAAATCAGGGAAGAGGCAAAATCCACTACACTCGAATTACTACCAACTAAAATGTGGCTGAGGTATGAAAAGTAGGTAGCGTACGTCTAATAATATTAGTAAATTTCTTGCAGAAGCTCCAAACCACAAGTACCTCTTTGCTAAAGTAATTATAACAATAGTTCCTTGAAGAGAAATTGAACCTATTTCGTATTTTTAGATAGTTTTAGTAGTTGGTTCGAAATAAAACAACTTTTGTTTCATTATGTAAGTAGATTTTTGGTTGTATGGAGAGTCGTAGGAAAAATAGTGTACATGACTCGTTTGAAAGCCACTTTTCACACTCGTGTGATTGCCACACTCGGCTTCGCCTCGTATGGCAAACTTCACATCTCGTGTGAAAAGTATCGCTTTCAACACTCGTTACGTAATATACTATTGCCGCACTAGTGTTTCAAAGACCTGTTTTCACAATCAATTTACCTACAAAAACAATCGTGTTTCTACACTTTCGTAGAAAAAAACATTTTCTTATAGAATTTGGCCCGTAGAATCCATAATTTCAAACAGTTTGAAGATTGGGCCAAAACGATGAGAGCGCAGCTTCCCTGGTTGCAAACGGTTAAAAGCAGATCTCCGAACTCTGCAAAGGCAATTTCGCTTCACGAAACGACCAGCTCTCCGTCTACACAACCAGTTCGCCCTCGCCCCACGCTCCACCAGCCAGAAGACTCGCATCCGCGCTCACTATCATTTTGTACATGTTGTAAATATATTCCATAAAACACAAAAGGATTTTATTGAGCATCGCCCGCTCAACTTCCCTGATCATATTCTTTTTTACACTCTTATGAGAAATAACGATACACTGTAAAAATGAAAATTTTACCATGCTCCAGGACAGTAAATTTTTTTAGAAACAATTCGTTTTTACCAAAAAAATTTGCGGAAGAAGCCCGAAATTGTGCAAAATCTTACTTAAAAGTTCACTCCATTTCGTCGAAATCGGAGGTTATGTTATCGTAACTCTTTTGTTTCCACCTTCAGCTATTTTAGCTGTCTCCTTAATTTTTTTCGTTCGGGTAACGGCTGCCCATCACCCGGGAACACTCTCTCCGGTGTTAAAAATTAAATTAACAATTAGTATCATTAACTTTAATTTAAATATTATTTACAAATAAGTACATGATATGGAAAATATATGTATGCTTACTTCGCCCCCACGATCCTCTTGGCTGTGTATCCAGGTAACGAATAGAAAAATAATAGAAGTAGTAACGTTAGTGCCAATATTACTAGAAACTTAAGTATTTTCCACTTCAAGTTTTGCCATAGGATGTATCTGAGCGATTTTAACGGATTCATAAACCAAACAAATGACGTATCTGGTCGACTGAAACACACAAATTAGACAATGTTAACCAAGGTTGCGTCTTTACTTTGGCTTGTCTAATGGTTCGGGTTCGTTTCTGCCTAATCCAACTGGATTCTTTTCAGCTTCCTCCTGAGTTAAGAGGTGTAGTTCCGCTTCCACCTTGCCGGTTAATTCTAAGACTTCGTTGTCCTTTTTAATGTAAAATGGCCACCAACCCTTGATTCGTTTCTGTTTAAAAATGTTAACCATGGGCACCGATCCGTCGTTTCTTGTTATCATTTCCAAGGTACACAGTTTTGCCGATTTCGCACCGCGGGGAAATTTATTTAAATCTAGCGTGAGGGCGCCTGTAAGTATAATTTTTGGAGTGAGTCTCGTACCGTTCGCATGGCAAGTTTTACCTAGGAAGTCGTCCGCTGAAAAATGATCCGCGTCCCACACTTGCAAGTCGAGTCGGGCGGGAATTTTAGTTTCGGATTCGTCCCAAGAGAATACGGACTCTTTCTTTGTTATGACAATTCGTCTTTCCGCACTCAAATAGTCGAAATTGTAGACGAATCGCCAATTAAAGTTACCCTCGCCTGTTAGCGATCGGTAGTGGATGTCGGTTGACTGGTTGTCTTCTGTGCCTTTGACCCAACTAAAATTTTTAACTGAGATTATAACTTCATGTTTATTATACGAACCCTTTAACGTAAATGTCCGACATCTTTTCACCGGTGAAAAATGCGTCGTCTTCTAACACAACTTCGTCTGTGTTCCAAATAATGACCCGTAATTCGTAGCCTTTCGGTTTGCGTGGTGATATATTAGTAGGCGGTCCCGGTAAGGGCATGTCCATGGGGAACATGTCCACCCACATTTCAATTTTTCCTTGTTCCATGCCTGGCTTTTCTGGGTTGTACAGTGAACGGGTTTCTATATGCTCGGGTGTCAGGTAGCATCCGATGGGGAACTCGTGCCATTTATGCAAAATAGTGAGAGCCATCCTTTCTTCCATTATTTTTAAGTCATCTACCTCGTCAACATTTACTGGAACGGTAATTCGACCAACTTTTACGTGACCTGGAGTGTATACAGGCGGATCGATCTTGGCTTCCTTGCATAGTTTCGCTAAAATTTGTGTGGGTTTCATTGGATCTCTCCACGCATTGTAACCGTCTCTACAAAAATTCATTCGGTCGTTTAACGTCGCACGAAGATGCACTTACTCCTCATATTTTAAGGCAATCCCGCAGGTGGCTCTGTGACGGCTGTAGAATCTGTTCTCCAAGTCAATTTTTGTCTCGCCAATCATATCATCTGCACTCACCAGATCCCAATCAAATATTTGTACAGTCAAGAGGGAATCTTGCGGAAACGTTGCCTCGAATTCGAAGCATCTGGAAGAATAGCTGTGCCGTGAGTCATTCGAGCTTACACTTACTTTCCGAAGACCGGGTTTAATTGCTTAGATACGTAATTCTCCTTGTCTGTCACTCTTTTGGCGCCGAGCTGTAGTACTATATAGGGATCAGCTTTTCCGTTTAGATCCATTGGATGCAACTCCAGCGCTTTAACAACGTAAACGCGTACTAAAACTCGGATTTGCTCATTGGAAGGAAGCCCTTGGAGTAATCCATAGTTCAGGTCGAAACCTGTCAGGTGGAAATCCTCAAAATCATTGGGCAAGGGCCACTTGTAGATCGTTATTGCTCCCTTGAAAAATAAATGCACCCCAAGAACCATAGACGGGTAGCACTTACTTTAAACGATCCCACGATGCGGTTGTCGTCCTCGGACTCGTCCGCGCTTTTCTTACCGCGATACAATTCGAAGGTATGCAACCAATCCTTAAACCCATTAAATTCGGGTATTTTTTCTAGTTCCATATCAAATATCTGCAATCCAAGTTATTACTCTGTTGGCAGGTCAAGGTGATGCGCTTACCCTGGAGAAAGCCGACTTACGTTTAGGTTTTCCCGTAGCTTTCGGACTTAGCTTTGTGACAAACCGCGTGGCCGTTCCAACGGCTTTAAATCCAAACTTCTTGCGGTCCGTTGATTTGCTGCTTATCACTTCGACATCCTCGAGATCTGAAGGACTGATATCGTGCCGCAACAAACTTTGATTCTTGCTTGCTGGAGTTCTGGTGTCCTTAACGACATCGCCGGATGAGTAATACTTGGTCCACCAATCCCTATCTTCTTCTTCGTGCTCCAGCTCATCCTCCTCGCTTTTCTTCTTCTGAGTTTCCGGTTTAGGTTTCTTGGTTGTCTCTCTACTTCCATAGGAAATTGCGCCATTGGGTTCTTTCGGTAGGAGAGGGCTCTTTTCTTTGTTTTCGTCGTCTGTCGAAGTGTTGAGTGTCGCGTGCGTTTCGTTCGTCTGGTTCGCCGCGTTAATCGAGCGCTTACGTTCTTCTGCCTCTCTTTCTCTTCGCGTGCGAGGTACGTAGATGTACTTTTGAATGGAGTTAATCGTGTGTGTTCCTACGAGCGTGTATCGGCCGAAGCTTCGACAATCGACCGCGCGTATTGTTAAGGGCGGGCGGTAAAGTTCTTGCTCCGGCAGCTCTAAGTCCAGAAATTTGATTGGGCTGCTGAAGTTGGGGTTCTTTTTGGCATTCGGAATAATCGGCGAGTACAAAGTGTGACCTGCGCAATCGATATCGACCCTCGGCTTGTCGACGGTCATCAAATGCACACGTTTCAGGTCTCTCAGACCCCAGAAAAGTACTTCGATGCGGTATGTACAAAGCGTTGGTCTGATACCTTTCGGTACGGGAAGTATTGGTCCAAGATCTTTCATGTCGGTATCTTTAGAATCCGAAGCTTGCTTGGTTTCGGGAGTAGGTGGAAGTGCCTCTTCCTTTGAATCGCCATCGGGGTACTCCAAGAGTTCAAAGGTCGCCAGCAATTCGCCGGCGCGATCCGCGCTTCTTTTAACATCAAACCACTCTAATGAGGGTGGAAATTTCGGCTTCCAGTACGCATCGCCGCGTAACTTTACGTGGGGTTTCGCCATGGTGCGACCGATAAACTCCGACTTCCCCACTTTGTCTTGATCGAAAATTTCGATAATGACGAAGGGTGGATCCTGCTGTATGTCTTCGCTTGTTCCGTATATGAGGATTTCGTCGAATATGAGCAACTCGTCCCAGGTCGGGCTAACTGTTTCATCTATAACTTGGGTTGTCTTGCTAAACTCGCCTGCTATGACTGTAGCAAATGGATCTGAGAGACCGGATGCGTCGGAGCCGATTAGAGAGCGCGCTTGGTAAATATGCGCTCGCAATTGGAAGACCTGGGGGAACGAGCACGTAAAGCAAATGACCGGATACTGGGCGTACTTACGTGTTTTTCGGTGTAGTGGATCGTTAGTGGAGGTAAAGCATGTGGCCTATCCGCATTGCGTATTTCCTGCGTTATTTCGTATCCGTTAGGGACTCCGTTTAAGAAATTCTTCTTTTGCTTTAACAGCCCCAACCAAAGGGATATTTGCAATTTTGCTTGAATAGCCCAACCAGTGGGACCAACCGCCTTTTTTCCTGGTAACTAAAAATCGCACTTTAAAATGTGTCCATAAAGATCGTAAGGTACCTTTAAGAATATTGTCTGCACTTTCCCGCAAGATTTTCCTCGTTCTTCGTCGACGATCGCGTATAGTATGTCTCTAGCAATGATTCGGTGATATGCTTGCCTTTTTCCTCCACTTACCAACCACAGAAATATGTCAGGTACGGCGTGCTGGGGCTGAAATTTTCAAATTGTAAATAGCAAGCTGTGGATTAATTGTAAACGCACGTCATCGACCAAGGATTGCAGCGTCGCTAGGTACGAATGCGCCGTTTTGTACCTTTCCTTGAGCGAACTCTTAGTAACGATTGCTCGTAAATTTCGAGCGAGAGTACCAATATTTTCCTAGAGTCAAAGTAATCAGTCGAAAGCGACCCCCTATTAGAAACATACAATCTCCCGTTGGCACAACTTCATGCGTTCCTTATCAAGTTTGGTTTTCCCAGTGCCGGCACCTGACTGGGCGTCTTTCGCTAACGTGACATACTTCTGGCATCCTATCATTAACTCTTCCAAAACTTGTTTTAACCGAAGATCACTTCCAGAGCGCTCCATCTCTATTAAATGGTTAACCTCTTGGAGACCATCGTCCTGCAACGAAGTGTTATGGGCCGTTATTTGGATGGATGAAACATTACCAGCTTTTCAGCAATTTTCTCAATCTGGTTCGATATGTACATTCTTCGACGATAATCAGGCCATACTGATTTAATGTGCATGCAGGGCTTATTATCCCAATACGGAAGAAAGTAATACAGTTTATTGTGCGTCATCGGTTTCGTAGGCGGCGTAGTGCTTTGCCACGATTCTAAATCTGTAACCACCGCTTCTAAAATTGTACGAGTGAGAACTAAACCACCGCACCACCACCGAGCAAACCTAAATCATCTTTCTCGATTTCAACGTGCTCCTTCTTCGACAGATTCTGCCCGTCCATCGCGTTCCCGGCATTACCAACGCTAATTTCAAAGTACATCGGCTTATCTCCCAACTTTTTCTCGATCATATTCGCGTCTAGAATTGTGGCGAACAGAAAGAACTCCTCGTTTTTCCCGTAGGACGTTTCGGATATCGGCGGGATTTGGTCCAGCTCAACATCGGACGGTATCAGGTCAATGTTCTCGGTAAGTTCCGTCCGAATCGCCAGTAATATTCGGCCCCTATACGAAACTCCTTCGCCGAGCCCGATGTTAAGGTTCGAGTGTTCGTCAATAAGCGAATAGTCTCGCGTCGATCCGTAAAGGTGCACAAAGGACGGTCCAAACGTCGGCAGAAAACCTGCAAGCAAAAAAATTGAAGAACTTCATAATTTGTTCTACATTTTTCAGAGTACCTGAGATTCCTCACCCTTCTCTCCGTCGTTCGAGATCGCCTTAAGATCGATGAAGTGCGTGCCGATCACCTTGGGATTGACGGGGTCGTTATCGCGAAGCTGAATCTTGATCCTCTGGCACAAAGGCGGGAACATCTCCGTAAAGACCAACTGCTCGTTCCATACCGGCGCATAGCAATTTTTCTTGACGCTCGTCTGCCCCTAGGGAGGATAATTTGTAAAATACAACGTGCGGCGTTAACAAATCACCTACCGTTAATCCGGCGAAAGATACTTGCACGTAAGGATCGACTAAATCGTTTAGTTCCCCCGTGAAAGCTTTTTTCACATTCGCCATTATAGAGGAGTTCATTTTAGGTAGCCCGTCCGCTCGGTAGATTTTTATGATGAATCGAGCATGCTGGCGGTCTACTGGGACTCCGTCCGGAAGCAAAAGATTTCTGAAAGCAAACTCCCATTTTAAAAGAACCGCACGATGTATATCTCTTTTCTCGAATTAAGTGAAGGAAAATTTGTATTGCCACAATTTTTATGTTTGGGAAGTAGATTTGATTAAATAGAGGCAACAAATTTTAACTGCGTTTACGGTGACCAATAAGATTTGAGTTCCACGTTGGTTTCTAAAATTGAAAACTGCGATCGTATTTGCAACTGCAGATTTGAGCAATTGTTTATTAAAAAATATTCTACTTTGAGGTAACCTTTACTTATATTTGTATGCACAAAACGGGACGAGTATCTTATTCAGAGCGAGGTTTTTGAGTGAATTTTTGACCCCAACAAATATTTATACCAAATTTAGAGCGACCAGTTTGAACCATCAGGGCAGCTATTAATTTGTGCCACTGGAGATGATTTAGCGCGAATCTTCAATCTTCAAATTGTTAGGTATTAAAAATTTGAATTGGCAGGGCCTTTGTCTAAATTACGCACTAATTGTAAATGAGTTAGTAGGTAAGCAGCGTGAGTACTTTTAGGGCGAACTTGTTTATTTATTGGAGATAGAACTACATACGTAGGTAATGTTCTCGTATGAACGTAGAAGTTTCACTGCGAATTTAACAATTATGGATATGTTGCAATCGTTTTGGGGGATTTTTAACGCACGTCTTCACTACAAGGTGGATTTGATTATTTGTTAAGGGAAGGTTGAAGATTAGTACAGCCTCTTAATACACGTATTGTAGTTGTCGATTCTTTAGTAGAGAGGGTGGAATTTTCTACGGGTGTGGGTGGCTTTCATTTAAGGTTATACAGGACGTTTTTACAAGTTAGAGTATTTGTTAGGTTACGATACGTAGGTGGAACTTTTCCATAAGTGTAGGTCACCATTCATTTAAGATTAATGTACCGGGTGTCGATATAAGTTGGAGTATCTTGTAGAATGTAGATGATGGGACTTTTCCACGTTGTAGCATTTTAATTTAAAATTCAATTATTGTAAAGTAATTAAGTGATTTTTAATTTTAATTGATAGCAGTCTCTGGAGAATCTTTTTTTGAGGGTTGTCAAGTAGTTTATTTGATTATTTTCAATTAAAGTGGTTCAAGGCTGCGTTACAATCATACATTTACAAATATCCATGCCCAAACCCGTATTCGAACTAGGGACTCTTAGTACCGCAGTCCAGATTCAACTAAACTGCACCACACGGGCCGATAATGTGTTAATAGTGCAATAATAAAAGAGACCTTCACGTTCTACGTTTGATTTCGTGACAATCAATTCCTCCGGGCTTGGTGGCTGGGTTCAAGACGGGTAGTCGCAATAATTATGATACGTAGGTAGGATGGAACTTTTCCAAAAAGGGCCGGTACATTTCATTTAAGATTAATGTACCGGGTGTTGAAATAAGTTTGAGTATCTCGTAGATGTTGAGTGAAACTTTTCCGCATTTTACATTTAACTTGCATTCAATTATGATTTTTGTTATCGGCTTGTACGATAGATCGAAGGTCTGTTGTATGTGGTGGTGGGGGGGGGGGGGGTAAAATATTTATTAAATTTGTTCTTGTATTGTCACAACCGTTTCTTAACTAGTAATTGATGACACTTCTTCTTGAAAAATAGCATGATTGGCTAAAATAAAACGGAAAAACCCTCTGGTTTCCGTGATATGCCTACTACTGATTACTTTGTTCTGGTTTAGTTTGTCTATGATTCTACTTTTAATTGTAAATGATTTGCACCTGGCCATGGAACTCAGTCCTACAACAGTTTCGTCTGGCCCGGAAGTCAAGTAGGATTGAATGTTATATGTTATATTCCTACCCCCTATTATAATACGATATTGTAAAATGCAATTTGGAAAAGAAGTACTAAGCGAATACATTTCCTGGAAGTTTTCAATAGATCTTTTTTCCTTCCTTGTAATTAATTAAGACCATAGAGCTATTCTCGTGTTATTAAGACAGGGTAACCCTGATATGAATTTCAATTTAATTGTTTTCGTTATTAACGTTTTAATTAAATTTCATTCTCCCATTTCTTACGTTTTATTTATGTTGGCAAATCTTTAAAGCGACACTTTGGAAACTGTGGACATCAAATTCGGCCACTCGATCATTGTAAAAAACCAAAACTCACCCGAACAAATTCGCTCACAACCCCAAAGCTGCACGGCGCAAATCCGCTACTTTCATGAATATTGGACCGACATCCCAGTTAAATAAATGTAACTTTAAGCTCGGTTGCAAGACGAGACAACGATAAAAGAACCCAATCTAAATCAGTAAATGAAATAAGCGGCAGACTGGTGTGATTCTGAGGAAAATTATTCTTCTCCAATGAAACTCCCCAGAGGACTTGGACGACTATTACGAGACTAATCAATTTGCTAAGTGCATGCTAAGACTATCGTTGGTTATACTCATAATATCGTCTAAATTGGAGACATGCAAGGGGTGGGCGTCAAATAGCAAACAAAAAATCCGTTGGCGAACCAAAAGTTCTACTTTTTCTCCAAACTATTTATACTGGCATTTATAAATTCCAATTAAACCTTTTTATTTACGTTAAAGTTGTTATCGATTTTTCCGCTGTGGCTGTGAGATCTACCAGCTTTCATGACCACCCGGTACATGAACGCGCGGTATCGGAACGTGATATAAATTTGGGTGCTTTGTTACTAAGAAACCGTAGCTTCCAGATTTGTTTATATCTTTTAAGATTGAGAAATGGAAGGTAAATACCTATACTGTTTTAATTTGTAGAGCCGTGTAACCGCTGATAAGTAATATAAAGCCAGCCGCCGAACAGAATTGTGAAGTTTCTAATTGGCCCTGTAGAAATTATTTTTGTAGGGTTCCGAAGCTCTCCCGGCAGAGAAGAGTGTGCAATTTATTTCATTATTCCAGGTACCAGTGGGCATTACCGGGCTACCGAATTAAATGTGGAGTTGCAGCAAATCTTGCCTGATTGGATTGTGGCATTAGAAGTGCGCTTAATTAATATAGATTTTGAAATATGTCCCAGATTTTTAGGACGTCGGGGAAGCGAGTAATTAAATAAAGAGGTGCGGCTGGAAAATTCGAGTTGCCATTGTATCTTTTATGAAGGTCTATTTTCGTACTCTAGGTTTTACTGTACATACACAAAAATCAACATAAGTTTGTGAGCAATGGGGACTTACTTGGTATTTTTGGCTGAGCTCGAGTACATTTTGAGAACAAATGTATTACTGTATCGTCTTTGCTGCACTTTGTTACCCGATAGATAACCTTAATTAATTTTATTTTTAGATTTAATTCATACCGTCTGATTTTAAAGCCACCGATTTGCGTGGATTTTGTTATAAAATAAAGTTTTGTACACTAATCATCGCAAGTTACGCGTATGGAAATGTCCATTTTTCCTTCGTATACTTAGGGTTTTAACAGCTAACAAAAGCACTAATTTATCTTTTTTTTAACTTTTTACCGGTTTCAGTTTAAATTATAATCTTATTAACGCCCTATACAATAGAGACGCACAAATTTGTGTTATGTTTTTTATCGTAACTAACCACTTGAAGTATAAACACAATGAAATGTTCTGTACTTTGGACCACAACTTTTTTGTGGTAAAATTTATTTAAGCGCGATCGTGCGAATTCAATGATGCAAAGACACGATAGAGTTCTCTCCCATATAAAGAATATATTCACGATTGAAAATTATTCAGCCAACCTGTCGATTTCTCTACACTATTACTTTGTATAGTTTCGCTATTTTATTTAGTTTTATTGGCTTTAACCTTTCCTCAAAGTTTTTTCCTTACAACTCTTAAGTGGATACGTTTTACCTACTTTGATTTTACTTACGTCGTACGCAGTACGCGGATGATATTGCAATCTTTACTTGGACCAGCCATTTTAGCGAGATTCACAATGACGAACGACACGATAGATGAGTTTCTACATTACCGGCTGAGAAAATTCTACCAACTATTTCCTGTAACATTTATTTTATTTTATTTTATTATCCCTCTCTTGTTTTGGGCCCTCAACAGGCATGCGCCCAATTACAGAGTGACCCGCATAATGCTATTTAGAGGTGCCTCTGCAGAAGGTCTTAAGTTGGTCTATACTACTCCGGTATTTACCTTACGAATTGAAAAGGAAAACCTAATTCGGAGTAGCCGGTAGAATGCTCGGAACTGGTCTAAGGTAATTTCCATCTCCGCCACAGATGAAAAATTCACCTCAACCCAGGTTCGAACCCGACCTCCGGATTTATAACCCAATGCTCTTACCACTGAGCCATAAATCCGAATTTATTACACACGAACTTCGATAATTGTCCCTCAATTGTAATCGCAAGTACTGACGAACCGTTTGGAGTGTAAATTGCTTCGATATCTCCGATTTTACTTACACTACTGATGAGTACAGAATATACTTATCGAGTTCCAATTTGAGTTACATCATTACATTACATCACCTACGATTAATTTTGTGTGACTCCGAGAATTCATTTCTATTAGTTTAACTACGTTTCATATCAATTATAGTAACTGGTTTACCGATATTAGCTACCCTTGCTTTGTAGATAAGTTTTTGAAGTTACCGTAGCCGATAACAACAAGTTTTAGTTACGTTTTGTTTTGTTTTACGAAGAATTGGCTTATATAATTATTTGGGTTATGTTTTGAATTTATTAGATCGATAGAAATTTTGTTATTGGTGCATCGTAAAGTTCTTTCTTGAACGTTCCATACTCGATGATGTAAGGATAATCCGTAGTCGATCAAAATTTTGCTTTTGTTAGTGTAAAGTCATTCGAATTACTGATTCTTTTTGTGTATTAATTACAGTTTAATATCCGATTGCCTCCGTGTCAGACGTTAAAATTGCTTACTCATTATTTTATGTGTCGCGCTATTCACTACCCCTTTTATTTGTGACTTGTGGTCTGTTACAGGTTTGGCAGAACGTAACGTAACGTAACAAACCTTATCTATCATTTAAGATTGTAAATTTAATTCATATGTTTTGAGAACACAAAAGCTCCCATACAAGCCCAAAGAACCTACAGCTTTCTATGCCCAGTAGTTTTGGCTACACGCCGCAAAGAGAATAGAAAACAACAATGGCTTACACCAAACCTAATTTCTCTAAAAAAGTCAGTCAATCTTTATCGCGAACTGTCGCGGAAACTCAAAGATTTTAAGACAGTGTACAGTGAGTTAAATGAAACATACAAAAATAACTAAAAGCCGCAAGAAAATCATACAATGACAAACTTATTCGAATGTCTAAAAACCCACAAAAAGCCATGTGGAATATTATTAATTCCGTAAAGGTAACGAACCCGTAAGTACAAAAATATGCATAACACAAAATCATCAGCAAATAACTGGAGAATTACTTGCAAACAGTTTCAATAACTACTTTATTTCAAGTACAAACAACTTAAAAAATAAATTTAGTCATAAAGTTGATAGAGAATATATCAAAAAACTTATTCCCATAAGTAGTAAAACATTCTTTTTAAGCCCAGTTTGCAAAGACGACGTAAAAGGTGCTAAAAAAAAACTTTCAAACTCTAACGCTTCTGGTGACGATCTCTATTCAAACAGACTAATAAAAAAATGTTAAGATAGTCTTTCAAGTCCTCTTACTCATATAATAAATTTAACTTTTAAATTCTCTGAATTTCCAACCAAATTAAAACACGCAGTAGTACTTCCATTCTTTAAGAAAGGCGAAAAAAGTGAATTTCAAAATTACAGACCCATCAGCTTAGATTCTTCTTTCTCAAAAATTATTGAAATCATTGTTAATAATAAATTAATGGCGTTTTTCGTAACAAATATCCTTCTTAATGATAATCAGCACGGCTTTGTGCGAAACAAAAGCGTAGAAACATCACTCTTCGCATTTATCAACATAATAGTCGAAACCATTGATAATAAATGTATTGCGTTAGGAGTTTTCATAGATATGAGTAAGGCTTTCGATTGCGTAGACCATAAAATTCTGTTGGAAAAACTGGAAAGATACGGTATACGGGGTGCGTGTTTGGAGTGGTTTCAATCATATTTAGAGAATAGATACCAAACAGTACGATTAACTGAAAACAATGAAATTGTCCTATCAAATAGATTGGAAGTTAAAATGGGCGTGTCTCAAGGGAGTGTATTGGGACCAACACTGTTCATTATATACGTAAACGATCTGCTAAATCTTTTTACTTACAACCCTAACATTCACATCACTACATATGCGGACGACAATAATATATTAATTACCTGCCCAAAAAGTAGCGATATCCAACCAATTTTTAGTACAACTATGGATACTATTTTAGAATGGATGGAAACTAATATTGTGTCTAAATATATGCGTTCCTTTTGTTACAGCTAGATCAAAACATGACTTTCCCCAATACATTATCTATAAGGACTCGAAGATTGAACTAGAGCAAAATACAAAAACATTAGGCATAAATTTAAATGAAAACCTTAAATGGGACCATTATATAGATAACTTATGTAAAAAACTATCGTCGTCCATTTTTGCAATAAAATCCCTAGCACACAAATGCTCTAGTACAACCCTCAGAACATTATATTTTGCTTGTTTTGAAAGCCATATAAGATTTGCAATAATTCAATGGGGGCAATCTCCCAACCTATTAAGAATATTTAAGCTGCAAAAATATGTGCCACATGCCGATCCAGGTTTAAAGAATTAAACATTCTAACGGTACCATGTCTGTACATTTATGAAATCATAAAATATGCTTATCAGAATAAAAAACAATTTAATTCCCTTTCTCACAACCACAACACTCGATTTAAAAATAACTTGCTACCTCATAAGCATAAAACGACATATTACCAAAAAAGTAGTCATAATAACGTCTGTAATTTTTTCAATTGCTTGCCAACCGATCTAAAAAACATAAACAATATCAATAAGTTCAAAAACACCTTAAAGTCCTTCTTAGTTAATGCTGAATATTATTCCATTAATGAATTCTTTACATAATATGGCGTTGTAGCGACCTTACATTATAACTGCATACTGTAACTATATTTTCTATAATTTCATAATTGTATCGTATTTGTTTGTACCGTTTTATTATTTTACATTATATTGTAACTGTTGTCATATTTTCCATGATATATGCGGACTCACTGCATGTACTGTATATATAGTGAAAATAAAAATATACTCTACTCTACTCTACTCTATGCGTTGTCTGCCACTGAAGAGTTCCCAGTGTACAATCCTCCATTTGTACAAAAATTAATCTCGAAAGTAAAGTACAGACTCCAGGGGTAACAATGCAAAAAAAACCATTTAATTTGCCGTAAATGCCCTTGTGTGAAAACGAGTTTTAATTAAAGTGTACAATCCAGTACGCTTGTAATTGCAGTTTCACGGTATTTATATTACACAAAAAAAACTATCTGTGGAGGAAATCCGAAAAAGGGGCTCGTTTTTCCTTTTTAGTTTATATAAACGTCTGAACGTATGAAGCAGGATTTAGTGCTTGGTAGTCTCGTAACTTCAGCTTTGCATTTCCTTTCTGAACGCAACGGCGACTTGTTACTTGACGCTTTTTGCCAAGGGCGGAATGTCGAGTATAAAACTGATGTAATACGATTTCTACAACAATTTGGAGGATTTAATTTAGCATGATCATGCTGTAATTGCGTTACAGTGGGTCGATACGAGCCCTTAGTAAAATAAAGGAAATTTCGTACGGTACCGGAGACGACGCAGCTTGATTTTCTTTTCGTGAACTCAAATGTGTACTTTGGGTACACCTCAAGGGTTTTTTCTTCATATTTGTATTAATAATGAAATCTTTGCTTCAAACGTTCCACCTTAATAGATTAGAAGGATAGGTACTTACGCTTCAATATTATCCTCATCCTTCTCGCTTATTTGAGGCACTTTGATGCTGTCTCCTTTTCCAATTACGCTGATGTCACACTTAAGATAGCCCTTGGGGCCGGCGGTGATGTCGTCTGGATCCATAAGTAAAGCCCACTTGTGGTAGAATTGGTGATCTGGAAATCAGACTTCTTACGTAAATATTTCCGTTTGAGAATTGTTTACTAACTTTCTAAAGCGAGTGTATTAAGCTTTGTGCAAAGGGCAGAACGGCAAATACACACATGCACCATTTCGCAAAAGGGATATAGGATTGTTTAAGATTACGGTATCGACTGTGCTGCAAAGAAAAAGGCTTCAAAGCTTGAAAAAAAAATTAAATACCGTAAGCTGTTCTATTTTTATTCCGCGGGATTAGAAAACGATTTAATGAGTTTAAGTGTTAATATGCAAGTGGGGAAATTTCAATTGAATCCAATTCCCTAAAAGTTTCCCAGTAGAAAAAAAGTTCGTTAAATAAGATTATCCTTGATGCGGAAACGTATCCAACGAGCTTTGCATACGAAAAAGGGGTTGAAATTCGATCGAAATTGAAAGATTACTTCTATCTGTACAAATATTTGATGTGATTAGAGATTGAGATTTCAAAAGATATTCAATTCTGATGTTTTTGGAACGTTATTGTAATCTTTTCGAGCCATGAAAACTAAAAGCCGATCATTTTATGGATAAACTTCGAAAGAGACAATTAGATTTTCCTCGAGCTGTAGATGTTCGTTGCAAGCACGTTTTCTCAAAGTCGTTAATTGAATAATCGCTACTTACTGTAAATCACTACAAGCATATTCTAACATTAACCGTTAATTTGTGGTTAGTACAGCTTTAGCTTTCAGAGAATATATCAAATTGTTCATACCTGTCTGGCACCAAACGGTGGCCACATCTAATTTAAAGCTTCCAACAAATTTGTTAGATCGCAACTTCCTAGACTGCCATACCTGTCAGAGGAAGATAATAAAAACAAGAAAATGGCAAAAAGAGTAGGGTAAAGCTGAAGATGCAATACAGTGCAATAAACAGTAGCAGACTAGACGGTCATTTCCCATTTCATTAACGCAGCGACCAAGACAATGAAATGGAAAGTGGCGTAGATTGACAAAGTTTGAAATGAATATTATCTTTTAACTACCAGGAGCGTCATAGACGGTTTGGACGTCAATTTTGAATGCACCGACCGCCGTTCCCGAACGTAAAAGTTTTCTAGAATGCAAAACCTAGAAAATATTACTTATTTTAACCTGGTTCATCTCAATAGTTTTGCAAAAAAAAACTGGCAAAGTTCTTAGTGTTTGTGGTAGTACTTCATAAGTACGACTATACGTGTAACACTAACATTGCCACGTGTGAGCAATGAAAAGGATCACATTCCCGCTTCTTTCTTATCAAACCCAACCTCGAACCAAACTAAACTGAATGTTCCGGTCGTTTTGGTTCGTAAGTTTTTGGGTAGAATTTGTTTCAAACCCGCCATCTCTAGGTTTACCATACATTTTCCTGGTTAAGATCGGGAATCCTATGTGCTCCAGATAAGTGTGGGCCCTGAACTTCGCTAGGAAGTTCGTGGTCACGATCTTTTGAACTACCCTTAATCATTGAATATTAAACTTGATAACAGTATACGACGACAATTCACGTTTAGGACAGTCAAATTTTTTTTTGTTCTTTTCGAAGCGAAATACGCCGACACGAAAAGTTAATAATAGTCCAAAAAAATGCTACATCGGCACGTTTAATTTATTTGTCCCCCACTGTGAATGGTCGTAATTTATGCGACGGAAAATGCGTTTATATACTATGCGTTACAATTTTTCTTTTTCTAACTGCACAATAATCTCTTCTTAGTCATGCGCTTCAAAATAGAAACCTTTAATTAATTTACTTATAGGTTTTCGTTATTTTACCGGTAAAACTCATGGTACTCGCGTGACGATTTCAGTCTCAAAAAAACACCCGTAATAAAAACTTGGTTCTGCACTGAATTTTCTAGTACTTTTATTCGTAGTTAGCAAACCAAAATTTCTCGGGAAAACACTTTTTCTTATTAATTTTGGTGCGTAGAATCCAAACAATTCGTACTTTTTCGATCAGACTTCTCAATCAAAAGCTATAGACTAGAAACAATTTCGAAAGAAAATTCAAAGGGCTGTTACTTTTGAACTAGTAGCCCAATCTTGGAACTGGTTGAAATTATGGATTCTACAGGACACATTCTATAAGAAAATTTTTTTTCCGGGTCGATCTGGGACAATTTTTTTTGCGGCCTCAAAAAAAAGCAGTGTATAACCTTCCTTTTTTACGAAAAATCGACTACACCAAAATTTCTCGGGAAAACACTTTTTCTTATTAATTTTGGTGCGTAGAATCCAAAACAATTCGTACTTTGTCGATCAGACTTCTCAATCAAAAGTTATAGACTAGAAACCAATTTCGAAAGAAAATTCAAAGGGCTGTTACTTTTGAACTAGTAGCCCAATCTTGGAACTGGTTGAAATTATGGATTCTACAGGTCACATTCTATAAGAAAATTTTTTTTCCGGGTCGATCTGGGACAATTTTTTTTGCGGCCTCAAAAAAAAGCAGTGTATAACCTTCCTTTTTTACGAAAAATCGACTACACCAAAATTTCTCGGGAAAACACTTTTTCTTATTAATTTTGGTGCGTAGAATCCAAAACAATTCGTACTTTGTCGATCAGACTTCTCAATCAAAAGTTACAGACTAGAAACCAATTTCGAAAGAAAATTCAAAGGGCTGTTACTTTTGAACTAGTAGCCCAATCTTGGAACTGGTTGAAATTATGGATTCTACAGGTCACATTCTATAAGAAAATTTTTTTTCCGGGTCGATCTGGGACAATTTTTTTTGCGGCCTCAAAAAAAAGCAGTGTATAACCTTCCTTTTTTACGAAAAATCGACTACACCAAAATTTCTCGGGAAAACACTTTTTCTTATTAATTTTGGTGCGTAGAATCCAAAACAATTCGTACTTTGTCGATCAGACTTCTCAATCAAAAGTTACAGACTAGAAACCAATTTCGAAAGAAAATTCGGCTGTAACTTTAGTACTTTTATTCGTGGTTAGCACTCGTAATTTCTATGACTATGGTACCTTTAACTTTAGCACTGCTGAACCCCGCAACGAATTTTATTGCGGCAACTGACGTGTTCGGCAGTTTATGGCCGAATCTCTCAAAAAAAAATAACTATACTTTGAACTACACGGTAGCCCAAAATCGAATCTAAATATCTCTACCGCAGATTGCCCGTAACGCCATCAAGAATCTCTTCAGATTATTCCCTACCTATTGTTTGTTAATTTTCAAGATGGAATCTAATAATTAGGTGAACCATTTTTGGTTAAGAGCAAATTTGGTTGGTTATGTCCCCCAATTTACATGCGAGTGTCAAGTGTACTTAGTTCCACTATGCAAACGTTGCAAATCCCAAGCTTATGGTAAAATCAAAAATCATTTATTGGCGTTTTTGAATACACAATTTCCGAAACCAATTAAAAAATCAACACGCTACAGAATTTAAATACGTACCTAGAAAGAAAATATGATCGCTAACTTTTACATACAAATTACGACTTCCACACAGTTCTACATTTACTAAACTCTTAAAATTACTGAGCCCATACTTTGATCACCCTGTGTAACCTACAAAAAAAACTTATAACCACGTACACCCCTAAAAAAATTCTTAAACCCTACAGAAAATTTAAAAAAATCCAACCCACTAGAAAGCTCGTGTTACAACTGTATCTAGTTTACACGAGTATACAAACCTCACGCTAATGAGTAATTCATAACTTCTACAGATCACAACAGACTCTACCTTTAACATTAAAATTTTCGGATTTTACTTTCGATGACTCTACAACTGTAGCGCGAACATGTTAGAATTTTCGTCAAGATCAAGATTAGTAAAATAACACATATTCAATGAAGCGGGCGGCGTCCTGAATAATGCTAATTGCTTCCTCCAATTCAATAAACCTCACCATTTTTCAACAGAGGGAATTATTCTTTAAATCCTTTTAGAGTAGGTATTTAAAGGCTCTAAGCAAGGCTTTATTAAAGGGTTTTGAGTAGTCTCTACAGCGTTTTAAAGATCGTTAGTCTAACATACCTGTAGTGTAACACCTTTCAAGAGTACAAAAGAGAAAAGTATTTACAGATAAACTCAGAGTTGGTTTATTTCATTTGAATTTGTGTGTTGTTTGCTTTTCCCAAAGTAATGTTAAAAGTATGAGGTAAATGAAAAAAATTGCTCTAGTTACGTTATACGTACAGTTATAAACTGTTTTACAATGTGCCATTTACGTAGCTAAAGACCTTTTATTCATAAAAAATGCTTTAAAGATTCTAGGATCATTTCAAAAAAGATTTAATAGAAGGTTGAATTGGCCCAAAGGATGTTTCCAAAAAGATTCGTAAGATGTTATATAAGAAGATCTCTACAGTTGATGAAATTTTTGCAATATTCCTAAGAATACTGAAAAAATCAAGAAATTTCCAAAGGAACCTATTGCAAGAAAGATATTGCATGGTAGTCCTTGATAATGAAAAAGCAAAATGTCAACGCAACCCCTATTTGTCTGTTCTTTGGTCACGATCGTAAGGGAGGCTAAGTAATGAGTCCTAGAATGCGAGTGCATCCCACCTGTAGTCTGTAGATGGCGAGTGAATTGTGCAGACCATCATACTGGTCGTAGTTTGTTGTTGGGATATTGTTTTGTAAAACTGCTGGCAAATATCCGGATATACTCGTATTTCTAGGCTCCGAGACTGCATAATGTGCACGAGCCTATGAAGCGGTCCCGGATAGCACCCGATGATTACACCGCTGAGTGACTATTCGCTCGGATCGCAAAATTAATTAAAAGAACTCAAGAAATCAATAAATAGTAGAATTAAAGTTAATTACAAGAGAAGCAACCAAGCAAAAGGAGATAACTAATCCTTCCAGTTAAATTTAATATAAATTACGTTAGCAGTTCGCATGTTTTGGCAACTTAAACTCGATGACCAATAATTGATGTCCGGACGTATAATTCCTAACGGCTTAATTTTAATTAATCCCAACGACTAGATTAATTAACATAAAAATTTAAAAAGATGACATTTTAAATAACAAATAAATTGATTGATGAAACTGAATAAGACCGCAAAATTATGTTAAGAAGCAATTAAGTAAGATAGGACAGGAATTTCATTGGTGGTTCATTTCCACCCTCTGCAGGCCAGTCGTAGAAACTAGGTATGTAAGGTACTGACTCACTTACCGCATCTCTAAGAAATTCAATCCCTTAGTGGGCGTTCGTTTGTGGATGACTTAAGCACTTTCCAAAAAAACTTTAACTATGCATTTAGCTTATAATGGAGATTTTAGGCTTCATTTCTAAACAGGTAAAGATACCCGGAACTACCGAAAAAAGAAAAATATTGCATTGTGTTTTAGAAATCTAAAACTGCATGAAAAATAAAACTTTAACAAAGGTTTATAAGTTCGCCAAGAGAAATACCCTAAAAATATCAAAAAAATGAACGCTATTCCTGTAAAATGCAAAGTAAAACACAAAAACTCCAAAAAATGTTAAAAATACCATAAAAATTAGCAAAAAATGATCCATTGCTCAAAAATGCTACTTATTATGGTATGGTAAAATAAGCTTATATAATATACACTGTTAACTAAATTGAACCGTTATGTTACACTGTCAAATTTAAATTCTACCCTACTGTAGAAGGTCAAAAGAAATTAATTTTTTTACAACAGTAGGCCATTACAATAACCATTATTTTATTATAATTGTGTATGTATATAGACAAAATTTTCGAAACATTAGCCGCTTACGTTTCGAAACAAAGAAGAATACTCATTAAAATATGTTAATTGCCCACATGATAGTAAACTCTAATTCTGAAAATACATTACTCTTGTGAATATTTTATTTTGCACGTAAATGAAAATGATATTGCCTTTATTGAAGCTGTAATTATCTCTAAGAGGATCATGTTCTTTGAATGTGGACATTTCGCAACACCCAAATTAAAATAAAGTTAGAAACTGTGCATCCAAATCAACATTACATTTTTTATCCCCTAAGCATTGATCTTAATTAGTACTCACACGCACATTTTCTAATTGTATACCGAATATCTTGTGCTAACAGCTTAAATTGGCATTGCACCTAAAATCATAACAGGTCTGGATTTAGTAATCTTAATTTTCGTCGACATTTTCTGTCTACAATTTTCGTTTATGCCTGTTACATCCTAGTTTTTATGAAACATTCGGTGTCTATATAATCTTATTTGTTCATTAAATTACACCCTTTAAACCAATTTACCAGCTCTCAGATTGAACACGAGTACATTTTAGCAATCGTCGAAGGTGCTGTAATTACATTTTAAACTTTATCTCTCACGAGAGATGAGATACAAAATTTCTGGCGGGCAAAATTGAATCTCTTCTTGCAGAAATTGTTATTTAATTCTTAGGTATCGTTAATTGTCAATGTTTGTACAGTTATTTGTGAACAAATAATGTGACAAACGCTGTTATAATCTTTGCTCAAGTAATATTATATTAGGTCTGAGTGAGCAAACCTTAAAAGCTTTTCTGAAAGCGTTTTGGTCCCAAAACATCAAGAAATTTGCCAGTTTTAAACGTCGTCTACGGTTCTTTAATTCTACAATTGACAAATTTGTAAGGTACTTACCGTTAACGTAATAATCTTCTCAAAGAGCATGATCGGGGGCATATGGAAATCAAAAACAAAGTACTGAAAGAAAAGTTGTTTCAAAGACACTTCGTATAATTTAAAGTACTTACCTCGTTATAATAGGGGCAGTTCGTGCTTTCCTTGACGCTGGTGAACTTTTTCTGATCGCCAATTTGTATGCAAACGACCGGATCCATATTGAGACCGGTTAATTGTCTCGCTTCTATGATCGTAATGGAAATTTGAAAATCTAAAGCTTTCATTGCGGAATGAACGGTCGTTGCCATATCGACCTTAACTCTGCAAGCGTAGGTGGTTAGTGACAAGGTGACTAGGCGGAAAGTACCTGGGTTTCTTGTCTAATTCCACAGGTATCGACGCATACTCCAAAGTATCTCCCATGGACGTAACCGAGGCCTGACTCCCAGCTCGTGATATGGGAGCGGAATCGGCTCCGGAGAGTCGCGAAACTCGCCCAGGCTCATCGGCGTATATCAGCAGCGACTCCTCACTGGTCGTCCTACTCTTCGGCGGACGCTGTTTTCCGATTTTGATTAGGTTTTTCACGTTCGCTAACGCGGACGATTTCCTTTTATCCAATCTCTCGTGGGACGAGGACACGTTCAGCGAAATCGCTCGTTGCAGTAACGATTTGCGCGGCACCTTAATCGAACCGCCGCCGACGCTTTCGGCCTGGCTGGTCGATAGCGATCGTTCCAAATTGGCTATGTTCTGTTCGATGTCTATCAGCATCTGCTGGTCGTCGTCTAAAAAATCGTAGGAGTGCGCAGTTTCGCCGATCGTTCCCGTGGTCTCGTCTGGCACGATGTAAACCACATCGAATTCGATGATGGTCTGAAAGAGAAAGAGTTACGGTACAAGAAAATTCCGATTACTTCTGAAGATATGCCAGAAAAACGGAAATTTTCGTATTTTTTTAAAATGTTTTTTTTTTGTTGTTGTTTGGGCAGATACAGAAAAATAAAAAACCGTTTCTCATTGCCACTTTGAGTTGGCAACTGTTGGTTTCAACAGGATGGTGCACCCGCGCACAACGCCCAAACCGTGCGAGAATACATATTTACCATTTTCAAAAGGAATCAAAACTTACCCCGCTGTGGACTATCCGTAATCGTAATCATTTACGACCATATTGGAAAATACCGTTACACTCTCCAGGTTATTTCCTGAGAAATATTCATTTTTAGTAGACTTTCTATTAACTTTGGAAGCAAAAGTCTGCTATGCTATATTTCATGGTAGTTTGTTCACTACCCCTAAGTAGGGGAATTTTTCTCACTTCTGCCAGCTCTTCCGGCTATAATGTTTCAGAAACATTCATTTGATCTAAGACAAATCAACTTTCTAGGAATTTTAGCAGCATAATAATGTATTCCTTTGTAGTTTGTCCACTGTATCTCCTAGCGTAATACAAATATTGTTGGAGCAATTATCAGAGAGAAATTTATAGAATTGGTTACAAATTTGAATCGAAAGCAGGAATATTAACAGAATATGAATAAATATCGTATTTGCATAGGGAGATATATGTAAAGAAAATAAAATTAGATAGAAGTCCTATTCAATAATTGTTATTTATATGTAAAAGACAATCAACGGATGGTTAGCTTCCTTTATCCTCGTGCATAACACAACACTTTTTTATAGCAGAAGCTATATAAATCATTATAAAACTACTGAAAATTCTGAATTTAAATTTGAAGTCAAAAATCGCAAGCTTAGGTTCTCTTCCATGGAATTCTGTTCGGCACTTTATTTTATTTCGTGCTCCGCGTCCCATTTTTAATAAGAAAGACAAATGTTATTACGCACAATCACTTTTCCTTGCGGTTAAAGTGATCACTTTACCTATTCTCACTGTTAAAGAGAGCCCCATTAATTAAAATTAATTAAAATGTCATTTTAACAGCTGCTATGGAATAAAGCTGTTTTATTTTTGACATTTCTTAGGTATAGTGAATAATGGTAGTGAGTAGTAAGACGTGATATTTCTCAATTTTGCACTTCTCCTATTTCGTCCTTCCCGTCCACTTTATGCTAAATGCACCACTTTTTAGGGAAGCGCTACGTGCTAAGAAATTCTCAAACGCTAAATTATGCTGCCAATAAAAGGGCACAAAACAGCACAAACGATTAAGCCTAAATCTTCCACTTTGTACATAAAATCAGCGGTGTATGTTAAATTGCCCGTAATTTTTTGAATGGGTGTTTTAGCAACATATGAAGTACATATATGTTTTTGACGCATTTTTTAAAAATTAAAAAAATGTGCTATTGTTTGCGTTTTGTCCGTCCGTCCGTCTGTCTGCCCGTCCAGACCTCTGCGGTTTTGTACTACTTTTAGCGGAATTGTCCTAGAGTCCTGGAATATTTCGCAATAGGTAGTGTATACCTTGAAGGTGTGCCAGACTGCTATCAAATTTTGTTGTGTTAAGGAGGGGGGGGGGGGAGGGACACGAACCATTCCCTAACATATTGCTTTTGGAAGTAAAAAATGCATAACTTTTACATGCAACAACCCATTGATCTCAGATTTTGCATACGCAGTGGTGCCAAAGTGAAACTTTTGAAAGGAGTTCTACCCTTCATCGTATTCTAAACATCATCATAACTAAACATAAACAATAATTGACGTCACAATCGATGGTGATTTATCCAATGATCTCATTTACAAATATATACAGGCTGTTTCACGCAAACCGTTACCTAAAAGTATTCAGACTACCATCAATAATTTAAATCTTCATGATCTATCGAAAGAAAATATTATCAGGTCGTTTCACTTTTGGTTTTACCGGATACGGATAGCAACTTTCTTATTTTAAATAGAACACCCTGTATTTTATTGCACTTTCGAAATCTACATGAAAATGTCGTTTGATGCTACTTTTCCCTATACTCAGCATTTTCAGGTTATTTAAGATTTTTCAAATTTTTTTACGTTTGACTGCTTTTCTTTAGGGCCATGTACCTATGACCCTTTCGACTTAGAATTTCAAAAAGTTTTCCAAAATCAACAATGCTGCTTAATGCTACATGAAAATGATTTATATTTTGATCGCCCTTATACAGGGTGCTTTAAAACTAATGATCAATTTTAATAACTTCAAACCTTCAAAAGTTGACGTTTTTCAAATAGAACATGCTTTATTTTTGTGCACTTTCAAATGTCGGAAGATATTCTACCTCGATCAATTATTACATTCCGCCCTGTTATGCTTTTAATTTAATTTTAGATTTTCTAAAATTGTGACTGTTACGCATAATTTTCTTAGGATTTTCTGGAACAGAAAACAACACAAACAAACAAGCGAGGTAATGAATCGATTGCAAGGTAACAATATATAACGTCTGACTGACACAGGAGGCTAAATGTATACGAAAAACTGTAAGTAATTACTCAAAAAGAATCAATAATTCGAATGACTTTACACCAGTAAGAGCAAAATTTGGTCGACTGAAAAATCGTTCGTTTTGGTCTTGAACCTTTGCGTTGAAGAATTGTTTCTATTCTACGTGTTTTGTGATCGAAATCGCGTCTTTGTACAAGGAGTGCATGCGCTGCGCAGAGAGGGAGTTAAAGAAACTCTGCAGGACCTCAAACGGCAACAAAATTAACTATTAAAAGAAACCTATAACACGGAGATTAAAGGTCTCAACAAAAGGAACTGTTCTCTACCAAATACTGTCTTTAGCGACTTTCTGGTACGCTTTCACGATTCATTTTTACTTTTGTAATAAAATTGTGTTACCATAGTTACATAGCTCAAATTTATAGCAAATATAAAATTAATTAAATGAATTCAAATTTATGACATAAAACGTTGAAGGTACCACGGGTCGCCGTACATCCCTCGGGCCGATATACTCATGGCGACTTCTTTGCGTTATTTGATTCATAACGCCCTTAATACCTTAATTACTAAAAGACAAAACCCAACCTTGGAATTTTTTTCCTTAACGAATCGTTTTAAATCATTTTTTGAGATTTTGCAAAAATGCTTGCTAAATTTCGGTCGCGATAGCATGAAGTTGTAACACGATCAAGTTATAAATTCCGCGTCATATTTTGACAATTAAATAGTGAGTATTGTCGCACAACAGAACAACTTAATGCGCGCCAAATATGCGTGATTAGTGCCCTAGTTTCCATATCTGTACTCCCGAAATCAACATGTTTAGTTTAAGTCATAAATATGTAGCAAACATCCCTTTGAAAGCTCTTAGAGCTCGCAATTTATAATTCATGAATGGTCTTAACCGTTAGAGCTGCATCAATGTCTTCATGTCCTGAGTGACTGATCATATTCAGGACAGTTGGCATACAATTTAATCCTTTACACGCAAAACCTTCCTGATTTGGGTTAAACTTCATGTAAATACACGGGAAACGTAGCGAAGCCTTCATTAAAGGTAACTAAGTTCGTTATCGGCTTCGTAACCAATAAAAGGGTAATCTGCGGTGCTCTCTGTGAAAATCCTGTTATTGGTTTTCCACAAATGAGTGGGTATTGGATTTAGATTGCAACAAAAGACCTGACCAACTGCTAATTTAAAGCAAACTTTACTTTGGCCATCAGCCACTTATCGCAACTTCAAGAGGAAAAGTATAGGAAAGTACGTATACTTTAAGCTATATATTTTTCCACTAGAATTGATATTTTCAGAATTAACAATCGCAAAACAATCACTCCAACATAATTTCCCCTTTTACACACTTTTTCCAATTTTGCCTTTCCTTATTCCTTGCGATTTTTCCTTGTAGATCGTACTTGTGATATTCTCAGTAAAGTCTGATTGGTTGCTTATTTTAACATGTATCCAAATGTGGATTGAACCGATATTAACTCAACCAAATGGGCATTGTACGGACTTAGGTACCGTATAGGTTTCGCAGGGATAAAACTGACTGTATCTCAATGTTCCTTGACCCAGGAAATTTGATTCCCATTATCCTTCTTCTCGTAGGAGTAACCACTCGATTCGTTTGATAATCGATAGTCGGGTGTTCGAACCTGACTGAGGTAAGAATTTCATCTGTAACAGAGATGGGAATTTCCTTAGACAGTTTCGAGCATTCTACCGGCTACTCTGAATTATGTTTTCCTTAAGTTTTCCTAGTTCGTAAGGTAAATACCGGAGTAGTATAGAACAACTTAAGGCCTTCTGCAAAGTCACCTCTAAAACGCAATAAGCAGGCCACTCTGTAATTGGGCGCAAGACTGTTGAGGGCCCAGAACAAGAGAGGGGAAAAAAAAATAAAAAAAATGAATAAATAAATAATCAGAAACAGAATATTTTACTGAATTGTTGAACACATATTTATATATTTATACGGTGATATTTAAGTAGGTAGACATAGGGATTTACGTGTTTACCCTATGTCTACTTTTAAATAACAAAATCCTTTCTTTCGAGATTCCCGAAATCAAATATCAAACTTGAAGATTGGAGTCGATTCTAACTCACAAAGTCACTAGAAAAGTAACTAGCTTTGAAACTCTGCTGGGACCCGCGCATTATATAAAGCCGATTCTAACTCAAAAAAGTTACCAGAAAAGTAACTATGTTTGAAACTGTGCTGCGTGGATTCGAATCTTTGCTAGTATGGTTAAAAACTAGGGGTTGTCCAGCAGGGTTTTCTAAATCTCAAGAGGCTAAAATGCTTAGAAATGTTACTAAGTAATAAAGGGTCGATTCTAAATTGCATATCCCTATAACAGTTAATCGATTTCGGGCCACCCTTGAGGTCTCAGCTACTTTCGGAGACATCCAGAAAAAAACGAAATTTTGCAAAATCCTTTTCATTTTTTACTGGTTATTTAAAAAGATAA